TATTACGTACGTAATCTGTTAATTTTTTATAATATCAAACAGAAACATAATTATCTTCCCATCTGCTACAGGCACACACGTTGTGAAAACAGTGCCTATATTCTGTGGCATCAGTATGTGAACAATTCTGTCATAATTGTGCAACAGACATTTCATACTGTTACCAGAATTATCCACCATAATGAAAGCCCATTTACTGCATTCTGAAACTAGGTGCATCCTCAAGAGGAAGAGTTCCAGTTATCCCCAATTACCAGAGACATGTCTGATAAAGTCTAGGAAGAACTGAAATGTCAGATTGATGGCTGTCAGGTGATTCATGGGAATCACACTGTGCGCCTGTAAAGTTTGTAAGACATTTGGAAAGATTCTTGATCAGTCAATATGTGTTACATGAAGAGTATACTGAAAGTTTAATTTCCATGATTTTTCAGTGCTTACTCATTATGAATTACCCTTTATTTCATAATATCAAGATAATGTATTACAATCTAGCACAGTGAACTATCATGACAATAAACAAGTATTATATTATAACCATGAATCATGATTATTAAAACAGCCAGACTAGTATCCTGCTGCCATACTTGCATGAAACACAAAACTTTATTTTTAATTGTTAATGAAATAATTTCATATACTTTATCTTGTACTATTTTGATAGTGAAGCACAGGTGAATACAGACAAGCACACATAATACATTGGCTATGGTTACTGTCTAATGGGCCTTCTACACATCATGCTTAGTTCAAGCATAAACTTGAATCCGGTGGTATTCTTTTATAATAGCCTGTCATCAGAATAACAAAATGGCAAATAAATAACAACCAAATGATGGTAGACATTAATCACAGTGGCTTATCCCAAATTCTACTGCAGTTTTCCTTACTTATGTGTCAACACAAAAACAATAAGCAGAATAAAAACTACAATGACACATTGTGGATTCTGAATACAACAAACAGGGCAAAACATGTATTTCTTCCATGTCACAATTTATTTATGCAGACTGTATGTAAAAGACACGTATAAACTTTTTTAACATTTGGAACTTGTGAATGCACACCGAAATCCACCACTGTAAACATTTTATAACGTTTTTAAACACCATACCAAAAATCAGTACTATCTAATAAAATAAAGAATAAACCAATCCCAAACACACAAAACAAACTTAAATTCTGTTTTATAACAAGAGGTCTAATAACCTATAAATATTTTTAATGTGGAATACACATACAAAATGGCTCATCCAAATTCACCTAGTTTCTATACTCATAAATCATTTTCCCTTTACTTTACAGTAAGCAGTTGTAAGACATCACATGATTCAATAATGATCATTTAGCCTCAACAGCAGTTGCAGTCACAGCAGAACATGTCCATGCTTTTAACAACATTATCTGTTTTTAAAAACAGGGTTAGAGGGGTAGATGGAGTAGGGGAAGTTGGAAGACAATAGGAACAATATTCATACAAATATATTAAAACACACCTGACATTCATACAAACTTCATGCACACAATAATTATAATATACAAGTACATAGTCTTTTGTCATTCCACCTTGTCCTGCCATTTCTTTACATTCACTCAACAACCTACATAATTTCACATGTACACAAAATAGATTATAAGTCCTGGTACATCTCAAGCATTCAAACAGCACCAAAACTGAATTTGTAACATCACGAAAGTATGTCAAAATTAAAACAAGTATCTTCTAAAATTATTAATCATTAATGACAATTACAGCTTTCTCCACAATGAAGAGTTGAGAAGAAAATGGTACAAGATACAGTAATACCAATATTTAACAAAACAAAATACAGAATTTTGTATGCTTATCATATATAAAATCCATTCCTAGTGTTCTACGTGCAAAAGCAATCTATGTCCACCGCTAATTCACTCCTATTCATTTTTAAAGTGATAACTTTGCAACACCATAACAGTAAATAACACAAAACTGATCAACAGGAATATCTCTCAATACAGTAAAATTGTAACGGTGGTGCAAGAATATATGCACTGATTGTAGGTAGTACCAATTCTGCCAGCAGATTGATCTGCCAACAATAGATTCCATCATTAGCTGTCATTTTCACGAAAAATGCTTATTTAGAATGAACAGCTTCTCGAAATGCAGTTCATATTTTTTAATCCTTTAAAGTTTAGTGGTTACTATATATATGCCACCTGCTTTAACATACTGAAACTCTTCAATATGCACACAGAGTGTGTCCAAGCATTTTGTATGGTTCTCACAATATACAGCAACTGTTTCCCTGAACAGCACTGACCATGTGGTCTTTGTAGCAGAGACAAATTGTGTTTCCTGTGAGGTATAGACTGGATGCATATATTATTTAAAATAAATTCCATCTTCATCAGATGTTAAATGATTGGATTGTGAGTACATGAAGCACAACCCCTAATATATTTGTAAGATCATTACAATAAGTAAGCAATTTTGTTATTTCAGTAGTTTATTATCACAAAAACCCTGATGAAGAACGGGCACTTTCATTACTGTATAATATTATGCAAACAAGCATTTACTGCTTCATCACACATCACGCTGCAATGTATAAGGGTTGAGAAAATTAACACAGTAAACATTTATATAATCTATTGCATTATAACATGTACCACTTTAATCCTCATATCTTCATACGTGTAAACTGCACTTACACTTACATAACCGAATATGCATCTGTACAAATATGAGCAGAATGTATTTTTGTTTCAGTGACAGAAAATACATATATATTTTATACACTGGTACTTTTTTCTATAGGCCTCCTGTTGCATACATAAAACAATCTTTCAGTAATAATGCAACAGAGAACAAAGAATAATGTCAGTACAATCATTTGTTGCTTGACACTTTCCAGCAGGCTGCAACAAGAAGAGCAGCATCTGCATTAGGCTACAATTCTTCCACATAAATTGGTTACTGAAGACTAAAAAATTGTTACATTGTAAATATTATTAACATTATTCTCTCTAATGGAATTTGTGATTATATACTTTCAAATTGTAAATGACTGTGTTCATTGGTATCAAAAACTTATTTGCTATCAAAATATAATCTGATATGAAACACAAAAATAACTTTTCTCTGATTAATCATTAAGCACAAACAAGTTTAATTCAGGGTGTCCTCTTCTGGGAAGTACCACAATATAACCCAGGAGAAATCCACCATCATTTCAAAGGAATATACTGGTTCCATCTTCAGGGTTGAAGAGTAAGTCAAACAAGGAACCAGCAAGCAGCAAACAGAGGGTTCTGCTTGCTTCTTTCTAGTTCCAGCCTGGCTTGATGTTCCTCTGAAATATCAGTGAATTTCTACCACACAATTCGGTGTTATATCCCAGTACTATTCATAATCATCACTGTGAGAAGTGCAAACCAAATGAAGTTTAACTAAAGCATGTTCAGCCAACAATAAAACAGTGATGTTCACGCCATATACTGGAACCTGACCCTGAAGAACACATAATATTAAGTTTCCTATCAGTTCAAAAGTGTCACCATGCATAACAAGCAATGAATTTTTAAAAAATGTAGTTATAAAATTGGTTTCAGCTCAATATAACAGGTTCCTATGAATACATGGTGTCTTGCACATACACCACACAACAAGATATTCTTATTTCAGCAACACAATGACATCGACAATCCCTGAGGTGAACAGGACTTGTGATTCGTTAACACACAGTGTACACTATCATACAATTGCACTATGCACCAGTTCCATGAGGCAGCAGCATGTTCTCACATAACCAACTTAGAACTACTGTTATATCTGATACATTTATTTTGCAAAAAACTGTCTGGATTTGGTGTACCACACAAATAATATTCAAAACAACCTGTAATTTGTTTTATGAGTCTAGATAAGAAATCACATTAAGGAAAAATACTGTTTTGAATCACTGATTAATATTATACAAATATTTATATTATATACATATATATGTATACACAAATTTTCCCATTTTTTCATTTAGAATTTGACATTATATCACATCACCTGTTTTATTTCATCTTAATTATGTTCTACAAATTTAGCTGTGTTAAAAAATGTAATATTCGTTTTTGTGGTCCATTATTTATTTACTTTCCCATTCACATGTGAGTTGGAATACAAACATACCCACCATTTTCAAGAATTTAACAGACCAAAGTTTTAAGTCAAACACTGCCCCTTATTTTTGTGTACTATTCTGATGTTAAGACAAGTATATCACATTTGGAATCCAGCACTGAAAATGGTGTACAAGTTGGCAGACCTTCTGATTTCAATGATACTAATACCATACAAGGCCGCGCCACAGCTCAAGCGGCTAGTCGCTGGCTTCCCATCTCAGTGGCCCAGGTTCGACCCCAGGTCTGGTCAAGTGGGATTTGTGGTGGACAAAGTGGCACTGGGGCGAGTTTTCTCCAAGTACTTTGGTTTCCCTTGCCAATCTTCATTGCACCAAATTCTCCATCATCATAATCACCCGGGGCAGGTACAATAGACCAATCAGTGTCTGCCGTGCCAAGTGGACCCAGCTGGACTCTGATTCTTTTTAAATACCATACAAACTGCTTCTATGTGATAGGTATACAAATAATTATAGTATTTCATTTTCTGGCACCATATTTGTCTTATGTCAGCATCACATCTATCAGTGCAATGAATATCAGATATTACTGCCACAGTACCCACTGTTAACCCTGAAACAGTAAACGTAAAAGAAGCATAATCTGAGGAACTATGATCCTGGGCTTTTATATTGTGGCATGCAGACCCATTGCTAGGCAGTGACTGCAAAATAAGCAACTATACAACAACCAATACTAGGCAATGGCTGAGTAGCCATTATGTGGACACCCCAACAGACATGAACACAACAACTGCATTGCACAGATGAATGGTGTTTTCTGTGCAGTCATGTTATAAGCAGAACATGTCAGTGAGTTAGTGAGAGGACTGCTGCAGTTCATTAGCTGGAAGCTGCTGCTGTGAGAAGCTGGTAGCTGAAGCTAGGGACCATTTAGGAACCCAGAGGAAGGAGAACATTGGCTCTTGGAAGCCACTACAAAGCAACGGCTAGTGAAGAATGTAGCAGACTGAGAATATCTAGTGTGTCCTACAGTGATTTGTGTAATTAACAAGTTGTAAAAGTGTCCAATAAATCCAATTACAGATCCAAACCCTGTCTATAGTCACTAAAATTGTGATATGATATGAAATTAGATAGCCAGTTACTTAGAGATGGCATACATCCACAGCCAATGGACATACCTTAACCCTTTGCATGCCATGTACCAACTAAAGCAGATAACAATACTTGCACTAAATCTGCCATACCAAAGGAGATCAACTAACTCTTACTCAAACAGTACAGCATTTTTGTCAACAGATGACATCAAGTGTGACACTGATGTTTAGAGGACAGGACAGGTATTCACATGAAATATTTATGTTGATGTAGAGGGCTATCTTCTGGGTTGTAACACCATATGGTCCAGTAGAAGTTCATCAGTGCCTCCATTTTCAAGGTTGAAGAGCATGTCAACCTGGCAGCAAGAAGTAGGGAGAAAGCAAAGCCTGTATCGGTGAGCTTCTAACAGACTACAGACTACAGAGAAGATAGCACTTTTCATAGTCACTTCTGTCCGAATCTCAAATCCAACATTTCTGTTGTCTGAAGTCATCTGAGGAAAGTATTGCAGGTTTTCCTGCACAACTCCATTTACCCCCATGCAGTGTTCACATTTCTATCATGCGGTCTTACTGTGGAGTGTGATAGTCAACACATTAATCCCTGCCTAGCAAAGAGAAAAGAGGAAGCAATGTTGAGTAGATATTATGTATGTGAACAGTTGAAAATATCATACAAAGGACAGTATATCAAAAATGTACTAACCTATTATAATGACCATATTAACAATGTTTTAATCTGGATACTTCATGCCAGGTATCCACCAGCAGCATGCAGTGCCTACTCTACATAAGAAGTACTTTATACAGACAAGCTTTACACCAAATTTGGTTCAACCAAAGTTTAAAGTTACTGCTAACAGTGAATACCCATTACACAATAGATAGAACATGTTTTATTGCACAGCCTTCTCTATATACAGTAACACCAATGACCTGTAAGATTCCATCTGTGAACATTCAATTTAAAAATAATCATCTTCAACACAACAAAAATACTGGTCTTTCAACATATGCTAATGAACAAATCAGCTTTGATAAGCACCAGGCAATGTGACTTGGCCCTTTGCCTTATGCATAATCCACACAAGTGTCAAAATGTCATCAGGTGAGATAATTACAGATTACCAGTTTCATTGATGTTCATTTATATCAAATAATGACAAGGAAAATTAAAGTTTTAATGTATTCAACAAAGACATTATTCTTTTCAAAACCATAATAATAATAGAAAGCCAAGAATTAAGATGAAGTGTACCAAGGGAATAAACCTCTAGCAGCGTGAAAGATAACTGCTATGAGATGAAACAGAACATATGCAACCATATCACAGTAAATGCACTACAATTTCATGGCAAGAAGTCACACACACTGTTAACTCTTCTAAAATCATTAACTTATTCAGTGTCTGGAAAAAAAAAACAATAGTACTATTACTACACAACTCACAAAACAAGTCATGTATAAATCGCATTCTTTACATGAGGGTTGTCAAACACGAGCCACATTTGTAGAAATATTCTGACATTTTGTAGACCAGACATAATACTACAGTAGCTCATATGCTTTATTTACCTACCTGCCTCAGATTCACCCACACACTCTTTAATTTAATGCAGCAACCATCTCTACATAAGTGAACAATCTTAATTCTATCTAAATTAAATTTTCCAAATTATGCAATAAAAACCAACCAAAAAACCTATTAATTAATTAGACTGGGCCTCGCACACACACTCTGGTTAGGGCATCCTTAAATCATATTTCCAGAGAGACAAAGTACAGCATATAAAAATATGTGGCCCAAATAAAATTACGTTCGCACACAAAAAAAAAGGAAATGTAACAACAGGAACTGTTATGGGATTTCAAGAGTTGCATGTGGAAAGTTGTTAATAATGCTTACTCCATGTTTTACATAAGAATTACACTGCAACTCTTGTCCTTGGGATTTTTTTTTTTTGGAATGGTAGTACAATAACAGAATATGAAAGTGAAAAATGCACCACTAAAGAAAAACATAACCGCATTTGAATAAAACAAAATACATTATATTCCCTTATGGATAAATACATGCACTAAATAAATCATTCCGAGAAGAAAAGTGGCCTATCAGTATAACATGAACAAAACAGTTGGCATTCTGCCCCAGTGGAGAGTTCACAGATAGCTTACAATAGATTTTTCCTTCAATAGTAAAGGAAAATTCAGTTTGCATGTCATGTGTGAATAACAGTAAAATTTCACTGACGACATACGCGATAACTACGATATCTACCACCTCAATGATGTTGCTCTCAAACTGCGTATCATCTGCATAATGAACTTAGCTGCATCTTTAATGAAAAAGAAAACTGTATATGATTTCCAAATAACGACCCACAGTTTTTCCAGCTTTAAAAAATAAAAACGCTTCCATGGCAAGTCATATCCATGTGTTTATGTGGTTGTCGCCTTAAAATAGAAGCCCTAACAATGTCTAATTTCTGTTAACCAATAAGCTTTAAAAACCATGTACTTTAAATTTTATCTAACTGCCTGTGTTGTAATGCAGTAGGAATTTAAAGTGTTTATATAACTTTACGTTCAAGGCAAAAAATTACAGTGCTCATATTAAGGTTTTCATTTCAGACAATATACTAGTGGCATGTTCCATAGCATCTTATAATACATATATGTTGATTTTGTTTAATACAGTGATATCAGGAACAATAATTCCCCCCCCCCCAGGAAAGATGGTGCTGAACTACCCAAAATTTAATCCTATCTAAGAAGTTGTTCTTGCCTCTGCAAAATATTTGTTATATGGGGATTGTGCAAACTTCATACACCTGGGCCAGAATGATGAAAGAACTATTAAATTTACTTGTATAACTGTGTACGCTAACAAAAATATCTGTTTATGGAATATGTAGTATTATAATGAAACTAGAACAAACTCAATGGATATCACCTCACAATTATTTGATTACCATATTACTGTCATACTGCAAACTTTCATCACCCAACCTCCCATTTCATTTTGTCAGAATTTTTTAACTCTCTAGTGCTTTATCTATTGCACTTCATAATGAACAGTTGATAGGAGCTAATATATGGCTTATAACTGCTGCCCATCCAAAAATCTCAAACATAACAGCCCATAGATATCAAGAATAATGACAAAAAAATATCCATAATCACTGACATTCCTTTTCTACGTAATACCCCTATAGAATCAAGCTGAAAATGAGATTGAAAGTGCATTCCTGAAATGTATAGGACACAAAAATTTAACAGCATGCAATGTAGCTCTGAACAAGCTAAATTATAAAGAAATTAAAACATGAAAATAATATATTGGTTGTAACGACACGTGATTAAGTGTCTCAATCATATGTGACACATTTTAAAACAATATAAGTATTAATTTACATTTCAAGGTACAGTTTTACTGAACCCTCAGCTTCAGAATATCACTATAATTAGTATTCAGGAATGTAAACTGTTCTAGCTCCAAAATGTGTGACATCTTTAACAATTAAAAGAGTAACAAGAAATAGCATTGTTGATACCATAATGTGCCAAAGCTCACTGTGTTTCAACAAAGGTACCAAATTTCTGCTTAGTCTTTTATTCCTTGAGATCCACGCTCAATATAAAGGCAATCCGAAACAAATGACTGCTGCTATAAGCAACTGTTAAGAGTGACACACGTCCTGGCACTGTAACTTACAGGGTTTCTCTTCAAGTACTTTCCATTTTAGCCAATCAGAATCCAGCTGCACAGAGTACAGCAACCAGGAATTGTACAAAGGCCATCACAATTCGAATATAGGATGCAATAATCCGTAGTTACCACCTTCTACAGCATTCTTTTTTATTTCCACTCCAGTCATTGTAGAAAAATAAATCTCACAGTACCTCAAGAAGACGGATTAACTGTATTTTTTCAGCCGCTTCTATCAAGCTGTCACATTTATTTGTTTTCCTTTCAATTTCACTGATCCTTGCGTACTTTCTTCTTGCTTTTCTTCTGTGCTTTTGCTTCTTTCCAAACATCTACAACAAAATATTTTCATGATTTATAAATACAATTCAATTAAATCCGTTAGAATTATTTTATAAAATAAACAAGAGTCAAAAGCATAACTCCTGATAAAACATTTTTCAAAGAGAGAGACACACATACAGATGGTGTGCAACTGGGATCAGATATTATAAAATGCACTGCTGTAAAAGGAGAAATGGAGTTGGGAAAACTGCATGTGTATGAGCCCACCCAATATTGTATGCATTTTCACTATTCTTGGCAGACTGGCCCATTAATGACAGAAGATAAAGTCATAAGGGTGCTGCATGAGATTACAGTAACACAATACACCAACAGCATGTTGCATGCACTGGCTGCAAGCAATAACAATTCTGTTGGTAGGTGAACCTTGCAATAAGTTTGTCATCAGCTGTGGTCATTTTCATCAAAAATACCTATTCATAAGAACTTTCTGAAACCTGTATTTTGTACTTTATCAATATTGGATGTTATGATTAGATTGTGAGTACAAAAACAGAGCTCCTGGTGCACGCGCGCATGTGTGTGTGCACACTCACATATAACATTTAACATTTCATTCAGAAAATGTTCCACAGATCCTAGAAAAGAGGAACTGGAACAAGTCAGCGTAGAACATATCAATTTCAGTAAATACAGTACACTTACAGACATTATAACTGACCCAGATCATATATATAATTACATTATTAATATTAATACACTTGGAACAGAGAAGCATTGTCTATTCATATTTTGTCCTCCCTCTTTCTTGCATACACACACATAAAAGAAGCACACGATTCCTAGAAACTAATTCATGCCATTCATTATGACCGCATAAATTACCTCCAAGTTCATCAAAAGCCACAGTGTTTCCTGGTTCATTCTTGGGTATGCTTTCTACCTTAGGTTTTACTGAAAATAATGAAAAAGACAGTTAGAAAATCACTGGAGTTCTTTTAATATCTTCCATTTAATTACCCTACACCTTATATATTCTGCTGAATTAAATCCATTCCCAGTATTATCACTAAAAAGAAAAGGGTGTTCAGTTTCATGATTTTTTCCCCCTTGGTAAAATTAACCTTTTGCTTACTCGACATAAAGACATTCAGACTCCAAATAATACTGAATAAATATTTATGTGTAACCCCAACAAATACAGAACTTTTTGAGGAGCTAACAGCTGCTCAGGTGGTAAAGAAAGTACTTGCCTTTTACATAACTTGAGATTAATTACAGTTCTCACTTGAGCCCACCACTGGTATGTCCTCAGCCAGATCCATTTCCTGTTGCTTCAGCTGTTCTAAAGAATTCATTCATGTCTGATGTCCTGTACATCATTTCATACCATGCTAGTTTTATGGATAGGAACTGTGTCCTCAGCCAAATTCCCATGCAGTTGCAGCTGTTTAGTCAGTATATAAAAAACAAACTCCGTGGCCAGCAGTCCACAAGCGAACTATACCGACCAAGCAACTGCCGCTTGTTGGCAAAGTTAGTGCCAACTTTTGCAGATATAGAGTGTCGCATGGTCAACACAACGGATCCCCACAGCAGCTAATCTCGGGATTCTAGACCGGAGAAGCTATTTCCTTGAAATAGCTCCTCAGTTACCCTCACAAGGCTGAGTGGACCCCATTCCAGACCCACTACTTCTCAGAAAATCTGGTAGCGCCAGGAATCGAACCCGGGTCCTCTGGATCTGTAGCCAGAAACTCTGACCACTAGACCGCAGAAACAGTCGAAAAAACTGCCAATGCTCTGGTGGAGCAAACATTGGTCATACATTACTGAATGATGTACAACAATTTCTTTCAATAAAATACTCTAAGAAAAATGTTACGGTTAACACATAGACAAGAAGCCTATCACATCAGCAGGTAATACCAGCTAGAATTTTAAGGGGACCTCAAGAGATTTTGGAAGACTTTTAGACATTTTGTGTTTGTTTCCCACATTTTCAAGAACAATGTCACTACTTCTGGATGACAGCACCCTTTAAGGTCTCTTCACACTACAAGTCACAACAGCTGTTGCTCCACTGATGGTCTCCTTCCTGCTGATATTGTCACGTAAACATGTAAGCTCCTATTTCTATATACTGTCAGAACCCAAAAACTGAGATTCACACTACCACTAACTACAATAAATGCTGGAAATGTACTTTCAAAGCAATTGACACATGACTTTAAGTGATAATTTCCTCTTATCCCCTATATGTTAACAGTAGGCATGCGTGGGTCTCAATTTTTTACACTGAATCAAGGAAAGATCTCAATTCCCACTGAACACTGATTTTTCAGTCTCAAACTGAGAGTTTTGAAATTATTGCATTTACTTTGTGCAGTACATGCAAACTACCCAGTTCACAATTATAATTGTTGGCAATGCTCACATGGATCAAATGTCGACAAAATCTCTACCTCTCACTATCTTTCCCTTGCCCCCCCCCACCTTCTACCTGCTAATGGTGAAAAATGATATGACCCCAGAATTGATTTCTTTATGAAAACATTTAATTTAAAATTAATCTCATATCGTACTTTAGTACCCTGTGAAAACGTAATTTGTCTTACGAATTGTTAGGTGAGGGGTGAGGTTTAGCAGAGAAAGTTCTTCATATCTCAAGTCTTTAAATTTTTCCAAATTCTTGTCTCAAACTGAGAAAGTCACTCTTGTGCATGCCCAATTAAAAGCAAATCTATTAAACTCATACTGAAAGAATGAAGAAACAGAAATAGTGTATGGTATTTTGGAACAGTGGCCACACTGCCTCTTTCATAGAGGTTGGTGCAGTAGCTTCCTGGTACAGTTACTCCAGTAGCAATCAGAGGAATTTAATTCACAAAAGTAGGCAATTTCAAGATAGAAAACTTACCTTCTTCCTTAACTTCATTTTGTTTATTCTCTGGAACTTCAATCTCCACAAATGGAGGAGATGCAGGTACTTCCTGAGTTTCTGTCGTTGTCTCAACTGCCACAGGCATTTCGGGTTCTGTACATTTGTTGGCCGATTTCTTCTTGCTTTTTTTCTTTGATTTAGACACAGTTTCTGGGGTAATTCCAGGCTCCTCAGTTGATCTTACGTCTGGTGTTACAATAACTTCGACGATTGGCACAGCCTCCTTCTCTGGACTTCATGTAAAATTGAAGATATACCTTCATATTAAAATCTACTTCAAAATTCTAAATGATGAACTAAGAAATTCCTACACATAAATTCAGGGAAAATACCTGAATGCCTTTCTGTTCAGTTTCTTTAGGTCATTTAATTATACCATCAACTCCACAGATTGTACAGCATTAGCTTTATAAGAAACATCTTGAACAGTTACACCTCTTAATACATAAGTAGCACAAGTCCAGCAAGTGTAACTAGTTTAATAGGAGCAAGTAAAAGTTTTCCCTTTACCCATTTCAACAGTTACTGGCCATCATCAGAAGACATTTCTGATGAAACTTGCTTGCCTTCTACTACTTATTTATGCATATGACATCAAATTATAATAAAGTAAAACAAAGAACCTCAAACAGACACTAGTAAGGAGGTGGGTAGGCTGCGTCATAGCTCAAGTGGTTAGTCGCTGGCTTCCCACCACGGCGGCCTGGGTTCGATCCCAGGGTCTAGTCAAGTAGGATTTGTGGTGGACAAAATGGCACTGGGGCAGGTTTTCTCCGAGTACTTCGGTTTCCCCTTTCAATCTTCAATCCACCAACTGCTCCACAATCACCCTCACCTATCATCTGGGGCTGGTACAATAGGCCAGAAGTGGCTGCAGTACAAGGGACTTAGACCCACTATACTAGCAATAAAAAAAAAAGAGGAGGTGGGTCTAAAAGTAAACTCAGAAAATGTATAGTATCATCTTGCAAGTTATGATGCTGCATAGTTCAGAAAGAGACACATTTTCAGGAACATACTACCTCCAACTTCAGGGCCAAAGAGTAATCCAAGGAAAAAACCAGTAGAAGCAGAGGGTATGATGAGTACTCAGCTTGCCACCCGCTTCTGTTGCATTCTTTCTTGGCCTACTCTTTGACACTGAAGATGAAGGCAATAAGTTCCTCCTACACAACATGGTGTTAAAATCCAGAAGACCATACTCTATGCATTCATGGCCATGAGAACCTCAATACAGCAAAAGTATATAATGAGGTCTTGCCACCAGAATGCAAGGCAAAATCATGACACAGAAACAGCTAACAGATCCTCTGTAACTGGTAAAGTTCAAATATTCAGGAATGACACCAACAACTTGCATTCATGAAGAAATTTAGAAAAGATTAAATCTGAGGAAACGATGCTACCATTTGGTTCATAATTTTTGTCTTCCTGACTGCTTTCTAAAAATGTAAAGATTAAAACATACAAAAAATTTTGCCCATAGTTTTGAATGGGTGTGGAACTTGTTTTGTGACATTGAGGGAAGAGCACAGACTCAGCATGTTTGAGAACAGGGTGCTGAAGAGAAAATTTGGATCTAAAAGGGATGAAATAATAAGAGGCTGCAGAAATCTACATAATGAGGAACCTCACAACTTGTACATTATTAGAATGACTGCACTGAGGATGACTGGCAGGGCATGCAGCATGTATGCTGGTAGAAAAACCTGAAAGAAAGAGAACACTAGGATGACCGAGGCACGGATTGGAGGCTAATAATAAAATCTGTCCTCAAGAAACAGGACAGGATGGGGTGGACTCAACTCATCTAGCCCAGGGTAGAGACCAGTGGTGTATTACTGCAAACACGGTAATGAAATGAACAATGCCATCTATGTCGACATGGTGCCATGTAAATCTTGTGTAAATGGACGTTTTGGAGGAACGTATTGCCTCCATCTTCAGGGTAGAAAAATTTGCGAGCAAGGAACCACTGTGACAATAGACAAAATTCAAAATAACTGTTTTAAAATGTGTGTCACATTATCACTAAAAAAACTTCAAACATATTTAACATCCAGCACGCCTATCTTCTGAGATACAATGCCATGCAGTCTGTTGACAGTCAACAGATATTTCAGAGGAACATTTTCGAAGTTGAAAAAAAAAAGCTGGGCAAAAAATTATCAACAGAAACATCATGGTTGTGCACCGATGGGAGAAGTAGTAAATGTGTAAGGCCTTCTTCTTTTAATTAATACTGTAACGTGTTTCTGTTACTGAAGAACATGTCACAATACTATAATATGCTGAATTTCATTATATTATTGCAGGCATTTTTTCTGTACGTGTGCAAATTTTCAAGCATTATTTTCCATTCTGACACAAAACATTAAAATGAATGGGCGACTCCTCTTGCCATGTAATATTCAATTAATTCAAGACATGACTCATTTTGCAAATCTGTACTGAACTGAAATACAATTCTCAGTAATATGTCTTAAAAAATGTAAAATTAAATTGTACCAATTTCAATGCTTCTGTTTGTGAAATAACCTTAAAATTTATTCAATACTTATTCTAAATCTGTACTGAAAACACAAATGTTTACATTTTAACCTCATCCTTTTTTTCTTTGCTGGAAGGCTTCTCCTCTGCAGACCTCTCATTGTCATCATCCAGAATCTTAGCTTCCTCCACAGGAACTGCCTCAGTGTTGCCAGCATCAATGCTTTTAGCTTTCTTCTTCTTACTGGGACTGGCTGTTTCCTTTTTCACTGTTGAAAGAAAGAGAAACCAACACATGAACTAGGAACAATAAACATATATGCTGTTGGTATGGTATGTTTTACGGTTCCAAAGGATTACATATTAAAAACTTAAGAAGATTTAAGTAACCTGCTTGCAAGTTTTGATCTAATTTTGAAATTTCTCATTTGAAACTTTATTTTTTTATGACAAATGATTCAGAAGACAAAGAAGTGAGACAGCAAATATGAAACTGAATCCTTATTACTTCTGCATGATTTAATAGCTTTCCATTCACTGCATCACAACAAACAATATACACAAAAAAGTCACAACAAAAATTTGTAAAAGTATTTATAATATATAATATAATATATTTCAAATGTTACATTACTGTCACTCTGTAATTATTACAAGGAATTAGTTAAATAATTTTCCTGGGGAGTAAAGTGTGGCCAGCATGTAAGGCTGACAACCTTACCGCCATCTGTGAGCTGATTGTCTAGATAATGTGGGACCCTCAACGTCTCACAACCCTATGGGCCGTCACGGCCTGTTACAGGGATAGCTTTACTTTTACCTTTTACTGTAATTATTACTGCAAAACAGCCACCAATGTTACTTTTCACTTTCTCAGGAAACTGTCACAATAAAAGTTTTACTTTCTTGAAGAATTCAGGAAACCATACACACAAGTATGCAGACTTGGCATATATTAACATTGTTGATATGGGAATTAAATGCTAAGTGAACAACAATTTCTGGGGAGCACGTATACAAACAGGATGAATCATACATTCCACAATTTGAAGCGAATTCAAAATAGGAAATGAATCCATTTACTAGTTCCCTAACTGTGAACTCAACTGTACTTCAATATCCTATCACTAATATGGTTTACATTACATACAGATGAAACACTAAGTTTATATCAAGTAAAATTTATTTTAAGAAATCTGTACTATATTTCATGAAAATAAGAAAAATTGTTTACAAATAAATAATGCAAACAAGAAAGCCTTCATTTGTAAGTACTACCACATGATGCTGTTGTGTGAAGATTTGAACAGCCAAATTCCGAATAAGGTGAAAAAAGAAATAAATATTACCTATGTTTTCTGGAACAGCATCATCATTCACCAAAGGATCATCCTTTTTGCGATTTTTCTTATCTTTCCTTGAAAGTGCTTGCTCCCACTCCCCTAAAAATAAAAGGAATTGTTTCATCACATGCACAATGCTTTTCTTTCAGAAGCAAAGCAAACCTAAAACTTCCATAATGTAAATGAGAATAAAAAAGTTGTTATAAGATAAATGAAAATAATAACTTATTACAAGTGATATCAGTAGGTTAAAGAGATACTTCTCTACTCCACAGCATCCGGACCACCATTGGGGCCCACCTAACCTCCTGTCCAATGGGTACTGGAGGCTCTTTCCATCAGGTTAAAGCAGCCAGGGCATGAAGCTGACATTCACATCCATCTAATACAGATGTCAAGAATGGTGGAAACTATACTTCCACTTTCCCATAATTAAGTGGTACTTAATTAATTAAGCATAGAGACAACTTTACCTAACCTTTTACCTTTTACTAGAGAACATCCCACAGAAAAATATCTAAATAAATACAAACTTACAATTTTGTTCTAACCTGTTGCATATGATATGAGATTTTCCCTACAGTTTTACAGTTATGTTCCTTCAAAATATTCAAAAGGGGCAATAAGATACATGAGCAAAGGTGGAAGATCAGCAGGAACACTAGTGCAGCTATAAAGCTAAGCTTTGTTACTTGTCATGTGTCACTTGAATAGGAAAAGGGACTGGCTACTCAAACTATTGTGACCATCCTTATCCTACTCTGACACACTACATAGAAGATGTGTTAATAAACCAAACAGTTCATTATGATCATCAAACTCTGACACAAAATAAAAGGGTTTTATTAATTAATTGATCAATTCATTACCATCATCAAAATCAAGTGGTTTTTCTTCGGCTTTCAGCTTTGCAAGATTTTTTTCATTCTTCCTGTTCTTAATCTCTTCCACCTGGTTCTCCTTTCCTTTGCCCTTTGATTGTTTAGATGAAGAATTTTTGTTACTGTCCTTAGATGGAGATTTCTCTAAGATATCCTGCTTTTTCTCCTTCAGTTGTTTTGCCAATGGTTCAGAAGTTTCTTTCTTGTTTTCTTTCTGAGCTTTAGTAGTCACAGATTTGTTGACTGTTTCTTTGGTTGGCTGCTCTTTAATAGGAGATGTTTCCTGTTTGTTCTGTTTCTGCTGCTTAACAGACACCTTGTTAGATACATCCTTTGCAGGAGACTTCTCTATGTCGTGTCTACTTTCTTTCATTTGTTTTCCTACAACCTTACTTGAATTTGATTTTGAGCTAGCTGCATCATTTATCTTCTGTTTCACTTCTGCATTATCATCACTCACAGTCGTTACATGTCCGTTAGATTGAGATTTCTACAAAGGAAAAACAAAAAAACAAAATATGACCAGTTTTATGCTGCATCAGCACTAATCGGATGGTGATATGACTTAAGAAAGTGATACAAACATACAGTCATTAAGTGTACAATTAAATTATATCCAGCTCTGGTACTCAGACTGGCTGAAAATGCATGAACAAGAAAACTACCCACTTCAGTAAAAGTATAGACTAAAATGAAAAGATTCATAAAGGACAGAAGAACAAAGTTTGTTTCAAAGATTATTTTACTACTGATTAACAAAAACTGTCAAATAAGAATATCCAATTTTATCTATTTCATTTTAAAATGTGAACTGTATGTTTAACCATATTTTGGTCATCACCAGGTGGAGATTCACATACTCAACATTGAAAATACACTACTGATTGCTGAATAAGCCAGTTTAACACTTAAAAATACCAAGACACAAACCACATCATATCACAAAGCTATAAACATACATTTAGAATACATATACTGCTTTACAGTACCAGAGCTGCAGGCAGTATAATATTTTAAATAATACTGTGAACTGCATTCAAAAAATTCAGGTATAAAAATGTTTCTACAAAAATTTAATGACTGCAAATATACATATTTGTGAATAGGTGTAAATTTTCACATTACGTCATATGGAACAGTTTTATTTAGTAGAATCTTGTAGGTAATTATGTCAGTGATTCTCAAACTGTGTTCCATGGGGCAATTTCTCCATTGGAAGAGACAGTAATTTATTCTGATTATAGGCAGAAGAAAAGCTTCAGTGGACTCATCTTGATTAATTTTATTAATGAGAGTCTGATTCAGGAGTACTTAAAAGAGTCCACACGTGTTTTGTGCAAGCCACAGGTACAGAATAAGGAAATATTACATGCTTTACCTGCCACAGTAAACCAGTACATTTTCTCTGAATGTACTTGGTACATTTGTAATAAAACAGTGGCAACATTTCTCTAACAACAGTCATCAGTTCTGATTTTCTCTGAATTTCTCTTTTGTTGACCATAAAAAAAAGTTCTGCCATGTCTTTGAATGTTTTTAGTTTTGGTGCTGGGTTATGTCAGTATTTCTGGGGGAGCCAAAAGGCTCTTCCAGAAAAAAAAAACAGTTTTGAAAACATTATCTTACATAACCCACAATGCATGCTGAGAGAAAATTTTAATCTAAATTTAAAACATTTTGCTTTAACAGACATGTTATGAATTCAGTAAAAAAAATGGTACAATCGAAAGAACTGACATTGAATCACATTGTACAAGGATATAACTGCAATAAATATGTCACAATATGATAGTGCGTGTCCAGGTGTGTGTACAGTTCACTCTATTGCTTCATGAAGAATATGTAAGAGTGGAGTTCTTTGTCATTAAGTAATTCAGTCTGAGACTACAAAACACTGAATGTACACTACACTTTTGTGGGACTGGAAAGAGGTGATCAAAATTTAGCAACTGATGCAAATATTCTGTACTTTAACAATAAGCCAAGCATAAGTTTTTGAGTAATCCTTTCAGTATCAACATTGTAGGATTGGATGACAGAATGACAGATGAATGATGCATTTCAAAGAATCTGAAAGGAAGCAGTCATGGCCTAACTAAAATGCAGAACTTGCCTGGAGGTTCTGACAAAAACCATAAAGAAACCAAAGTAAGGCTACTGAATTCAAATCAAGAGTGTTACCTCTTGACCAACCTGTTTGGTGGTCCCCTTATTTTAGAGAATATTAAATGCCTGCCAAAATTGACAAACATCCTGGATGATGTTCACTGTGTAGAAAAAATGAATAAGATATAACGGGTGATAAGACATGGTCTATAACTGTGACCCAGAAACTAGGCAACAATCATTACAACGGTTCCTTCCTTGCAATGACCAAAACATGCCAAATGCACTATATGTATCTTCACATGGTGAGACTATTACCTACCATGTGCTAAAACACATAGCCACAAAAGCAAGAAACTGATGAGCGAAGTGAGCATTACAGTACACCCGCCAACTTAGCCTCAAGTGTGTGGAAAATTTTAACTGAACACAGTACTGTACAGGTGTGTCAGTCTCCTAATTCACTACAGCCCCATGGCTTCTTTTATTGTAAGAGCTGAAGCTTTGATGGCAGCTGATGTTAACGAAATCTTCTCGGGCTAACAGCCATGTCAGCTGATTACAAATTACTGTCATTTCAGGGACAAACCTGTAGTCCAAGATCAAGCCACAGCCTAAGCCAATGGAGGGCACTGTCTCACTCTGTTTCAATCACAGGCTATAGATTGGGTATACAGATAAGATGGTTTGGATCCTATGTCACATCTGACCCTGATGACAGGAACTGTAATGGAGCCTGAAATGTCAGTAAGTTCTAACCAACTAACAGGGATGTTAGCCCCAAAAAATTTCATTAATGTCTTTTGTTCGCCAAACTTAAAGACACCTTGACAGACAAAAGATCTAACAATGTGGAAGTAAATGAATATATTGCAGAAAAACATCATGGTTTTCACTAGTTTTGATACTTTTTGAACAAGAATCATATATAACCATAATTATATGTACTTGGACCTACGTTTCAGACTTGCTTCAATGTGCAAAAACGAATGAAAATTTCTCAGAAAACCTGGATATGTCTGAAGCTCCATCTATACATTAAATATGTCTATGAAAGGAGCCCCTATAGAAGGTTTACCTTATAATAAAAGAAATTAATTTTGCATTCTGCTAACCCTAAACTAAGTTCTTGAACTCTAGGATGGAAAATATTTCATAATAAAAAATTCACTTTGCCATATAATTTTGGTATATCTTAATAACGAAGTCCTTAGCTGCATTAGATAAATTTGAATGGTATGTGCCAGAGCTATGACTTTAAATAAAATCCACTATTCAGTAACAAGTTAATTTAGGCTGCATCTGTTAACAGTAAATCAAGCCAAATTCAGTGACACGTACCTGTAGTCACCATACTGTAAATTTTCTCCATCATACTATTAATAGAACATTACCAAAGAGATGTTTAATCACATTATTACAAGTATGTCTTTCAGTTTTGCCAATAAAACCCTTCCAGGAAGGTTCAAAGATGATACCCTAAGCAACAAAGCATATAAAAGCAACAACTGCTGCACTTCATTTGCAAGAAATTGCAGTCATCTGACTGATAAGCATGATGTAACGTTGGTCTGATATTAGTTGGCCAACAAAAACGACATGGAGAATCTATGAAAATAATGTGGAATTTTTCCTTTCGTCGGCCAACAATGAACAAGTGCAGAATCCGCGAAAATTGTGTGGCATTCTTGCAAACTGACTTACCACAATGAGTCAGGTCTGTCTTGTAGTAAGCCAACAATGCAAAAGACCAGAATCTAAGGAAACCATATGGAAGATTATTTACTGGTTATGTGTAACCTTTTTCCTATAAATGTACTTAATAAAACTTGATAAAACAATATGTTCCATTCAATAACAGGGCGAATACTACCTTATCCTTCACTTTTCGTTTCTTGCCAGCTGGTTTCCGGTCATCGCCCGTATATGTGAGTTGAGCAAAGGCAGGTTGCTCTGGAGATTTAAATCCAAATGCAAATACCAATACAGCACATATTAACACAACTCCAACTGGAAACGCATACTGTGTATTGACAACCTCCGACAATTCCATCGTTTATAGATATTTCATACGTTCACGTCAACAGCAATCTAATCATTCATCTACCAGATGATCAAAGATGATGACGCGTTGTGACGTAGAATGTCACGTCGACCAAACTATTGAGGATATTGTGAAATTCCCCTAATATATCACGTTTCCTGAATAGTTTTCAAATATTGAAATGATTATAAGAAATGTCAACCTTCTAAATGCGTTAATATGATTATATACTCTCTATGGAAGTTAACCTTTGTTATAACGTAAAAATATTAGTTTTTTGAGTATACATTAATCTTCAAATGTTGGTAAAGAAGTCAAACGTACATCAAATATCAAACTAAATTGAAATGTTCTAAATAGTAGCATTCCATATATTCTATATGTCACTAACGAAAATATAAATTAAAATTTACAGCAATTTTGTGTAAAATACAGCAACTGACCATTATAGATATATATACATTTTTCGACAATTATTAATAAACGTGGCATACAAAGTTCGTACATGAAGATTATTGTCTTGAGGGATATGTTACAAAAAGTTATACTCTTCTACCATGAAGATGGAGGCAACAGGTTCCTCCGAATCTTTCGCAACTTTCCACCAGCTGACTACACGGCATCACATACCAATGGATATTACTCTTCTGTTCATATTTACCGCCGTTAGGACCAAATTTTCTATACAAAATTCTAAAGGCATTAATGTCCAGATGCAGTATGAGAGTGCCGATAGGAAATATTCATTTCTGTAAAATAAAACATTAATTTTGTCTTATTGTATTCTGGCGGAACGGTTGCATGCACATACTGGCAAGAACTTCCATTTTCAACTGTTGGTAGCGTAAGGAAATCGGCATTCCTATTGAATAATATGTTCTGTTATTAAAGCGGATAATTCCGCAAATATAAATATCTAGTAATTATATTACTTAAATATATTCAGTGGGATATGTTGGAAAGTCATCGAATTAACTAATAATTTCATAAATTCTACTACTATATTACTTCCGAAAAACATGGCTTCCTGTGTTCATTGATTAAAGTTATGGCGTTGTGAAGTGGTTGATATTTTTAAAATACTTCACTCTTGAAGAATGTTATTGTTATTCATTTAGGCAACGATGCAAAGGACTTCCAAAACCAAAGAAATGTTTATTGTACGAGCTCTAGAAAAGATACTTAGTGATAAAGATATTAAGCGGTCACACCACTCCCAGTTGAAACGGGCCTGTGAGGTGGCATTGGGTAAGTTGTTCAACGTCTTGTTTTTGGTTATGTAAGCAAAATTGACAGTAAAACACCCAAGTCGATCATAATAATTGACGCTCATATTTTTGACAGTATTATATAATATCAGATTGAATAGTTTTTATCTTTTATGTCAAGTTTTTTCAGTCATAATAACTCTTAATCTTTGTTAGCTTTATTTACTAGTTGTCTTAACCTAACATTGATTTTATAGAAGAGATACGAAATGAACTGAAAGATGGAGGCCAGGATGGTCCCAATTCATCATCTGCTTTGCCACTGCCAAAGAATGATGAAGCTAATATCATTACAGCAGAGAAATATTTCCTTCCATTTGAATTGGCATGTCAGAGCAAAGCAGCTAGGATTGTTGTTACTGCACTTGATTGTCTTCAGGTATGCTACTGTAATTGGATGCAGTGCTGAACTTGTTTTGAAAAATACAGTTTGGGCTCTTATGCCACATACATACATTGATTCAATTTATTCATTTTCATTCATTTCAGAAACTCATTGCATATGGACACTTGACTGGAAACATTCCTGACTCAACAACTCCAGGAAAGTATCTTATTGATCGTATTGTTGAAACAATATGTGGATGTTTTAGTGGCCCACAAACAGATGAAGGTGTTCAGTTGCAAATAATAAAGGTAATCAAATTCATAAACCACATAAATTTACAAGTAATGTTCTGTAAATTAATAATTGATATTCCTTAAGTAAAGTGAGAGTGTTTGGTATCCATAATTGTAGGAAATTAATCAGAAACAGGATTAAATCTAGGATATTTACAGAGCTGTTTGCCATATTAGGTTAGTCATATATTTTGTTTTTCCTTGTAATATTAGCCTTTGCTTTCCCACCTATTTTATATTTATTGATTTCTATATAATATGAGTGGTGGATTGTTATATTGTCAACAGTGACATTACTTTGTTTAGGTTTACAGTTGTGGATTTATAATAAGCATCACCACAATAAGATACATGAGTGGTGAAGATCTTTCATTTGAAAGTTAGGACTCAGCTATTTGCACTCCATTGCTGATTGCTTAGCACACCATATCGGGTACGATACTGCTTGAACAACACATCATTGATGGTTAACTAGAAAGATGAATGATTTTTAAGCATTCATTTAGCAAAAAAGGTGTTTTTGCTTTTTTCTCTTTAGAAAGGACAGCAAATCATGTCAGAAAGACTTTATGAAAGGTGTTTACTAAATGTTGTAAGTAATTTTTCAGTTCCTTTCACATGGCACCTAGTAAATAACAGAGAAGTGTGGAATTATGACTCCATGATCATATGCACATTGCAGGGATGGTATTTGTGTCAGTATATTGCACATTAAGATATTTATTATATTGCAGCCTGTGGGCGGGTACCTGTTGTACAGTACGGCCCCTCACCAGTTTGAAATTAGACAGCCCAGTCTACCTATTCTAAGTTATTGTTGAGTGTATTTGAAGTAGTATTACAAAATAATGTGATGTAGTAGTTTCCGCCTCTGTGGTCTCGTGGTCAGAGTTCCTCGCTACAGATCCAGATGTCCTGAATTCGATTCCCGGCACTACGAGATTTTCTGAGAAGTAGTGGGTCTGGAACGGAGTCCACTCAGCCTCATGATGATAATTGAGGAGCTATTTCAAGGAAATAGCGGCTTGAGTCTAGAAAACCGAAATTAACGGCCTTGGGGATCCATTACACTGACCACGCAACACCCTCTATCTGCAAAAGTTGGCACTAACTTCGCTGAAAAGCGGCGGCCGCTCAGTCGGTATAGTTCACTTGCGGACTACAGTCCATGGAGTTTAGTGGTCACACTGTTGATAGTCATTTGCAAGCTGTCTAATTAAAACCCAGAACAGTTCTAAGTGCCATAATTTGTAGTTTCTTGTGTTTTTGCAGTGAACAGTGTTAACTGTTGGGTGTGTGACACTTTACGCCATTCTGGATATAGTGAATATATTGGAACACTCGCTCTTGCAATCACACAATTCACAGTTACACAAGTACTGCCATCTGCAGTATCACAAATACTTCTGTTGCTCTTGGCGACTGCTAGGCTTCTGCTGCAGTCGGCGACTTCATGATCCACACTGTGTCACACCCGATCTCACACTGTGGTCACATACTGCTCATCCGGCTTTTTATACCGTTCCCTGTTGCCTGTGTCAACAGCGGTGTTCCATGTTACATCACAGTGGGAAGTGGTGTTATGTCACCACGGGACAGGGTGGAATGTTGACTGGCCTGTTACCGTAGCAGCGGCAGCACTCCGAAGCTCTTACTTCACCGCTGGCAGGGGAGGGGGTGTCCTGCATAGCACAAATACGTCACAATAGTGTGGAAGCTTATATATCAAATGATGACACTTCCCATTGAACTCTCAGTTTCTGTTACAGTGAAATAATTTTTGTACTCTTTTGGCTATCGATGCTTTGCAGAAACACATACTTTCTGTTGGGTCATTTACCAATAATAATGTGACCAAGCATGTTGGTGTAGCGATAATGCTTTGTACTGGTTTTCAGGTGATTCATTGTTGGATTTGTAGTCAAGTTACTGACCGTACTGGTTGAGGTTTTCCATATTTTCCTCAGTCATGAGAGATGAATACAATATAGTCCATGGCTGTCGCATTTTAAATCTTTATGTACTTATCGCAATGATATTCACCCCTCAGACTTGTTGCTAAACCCAACTCATTTTTTATTTCCTATGTAATAAGAATGTGAGGAAGTTTGGTTTATTTGGGCTTTGCACATGACATTCATTCTTTTGGTACTACATTCCTGTTTTATATTCAGGAAATTGTAGGTTGAAATCTGAGCCATGAGACTGACCATCGTCATGAAGGTTTTTCATGGTTTTTCTTGGTTTATAAAGGGTAATGCCTTACATTATTGTCATTATTTTCGTCCTTTCTAGTATTAAATCTGTTAGGACCTGCTTTGTATATAACAAAATAAAATTGTTTCATCATTTCAGAAATGTTCCCAAATTCTGTTTCGTTTTGGTTGGTATAAAGGGTAGGGTGTGACTTGTATAATCTCTTTTATTCTGCTGTTAATCTCCTTTTCTGAGTTTTCACTGAAGATGCTGTGATACCTGAGTCACAGCAATGTGATTCAGTTGTAGTAATTTACAATTGGCACAACGACTTTTTGTCACAGTCTTTCCAGTTCCATCCTTGATTAAATTCTGTCATTTTCTCAGTTGTATGCAGGTTCAACTGTATCTTTAAACATACCAAGAAGGAAGTCGTTTGTCTTGTTGTAATATTTGATTTGGTTCATCTTGGTCTGTCACACTAGCAATATTATAAAAGGTTATCAACTCCGCCCAGTATGATGGTATAACAACACAGCGCCGCCCGAACAACAGGATGACACTGAAGAGGTCTATACATCAAACAATGGAATCAGGACGTGGTAGACACTCAACTTCCTTTAAAGAGAGGCAGTATAAAGGACACGAACTGAATTGGTTCTAATTTTAACAAAAACGTTTTAAACCACACATGTAAACAGACTGATTGTAATAATTTACAAATATTTAATGTATTCATGCATGTCACTGTAGTTGTTAAAGACTCAGAGTTTATATTCATGACAATATAATATTTTATATATGTATTGATATTGACCAAACACATTGTAATAGTAGTTTCTGCTTGTACTGATATGTCCTTCTGAAGACGGTCTCTCATACCCAAACATGTCTAGGAAGAAAGATTAAAAAGGAGAAAAAAACATTTAACAATCACACTGGATGGAGTTGATAACCTTTTATAATGGTTGTAATATGATTAGGTTTGTGTGATGTAACATGTCCTTTATTGTCCTTTGTTATCAAGGCTTTATTAACAGTTGTGACAAGTCAGCACGTTGAAGTTCATGAAGGAACGGTTCTTCTGGCAGTGCGAACTTGCTACAATATATATCTGGCTAGCAAGAACCTCATTAACCAGACGACAGCCCGTGCCACGTTGACTCAGATGCTGAATGTCATCTTTACACGCATGGAGAGTCAAGCTGTAAGTCAAAAAGCAGGATAATCTGTTTTGGATGAAGGACTAGCCATAATTTTTTATTGGATTGTCTGGGATGGCTCAGTTGGTATAACTACTGGCCGCAGGCTGGACCAGCAAGGATTTGATTTGATTTATTATTACCTCAATAAATCCATACAGGCAAGATAGTCACCACAGATATAGAAGAAATCCATTTATATATACAGGGTGTCCCAGGAGGAATGTGCCAAACTTCGGGAGGGTGTTCCTTATGTTAAAGTATGCCGATATAACCCAAAACACCTATGTCCAAAGTTGAACGGTTACGGAGATAATGGCCAGAGAAGTGTCAAACTTTGACCGGGGTTACACACTTGTTGATTACAAAATAGATATTAAAACTGGCAGGAATATGTGGATTCTGTAATGTTAATAATGTACGTAACATCAAACCAACTTGTGAGTGACGGAAAGCCATAAAATTGAAGTACAAAATACTCGCTCGCCATGTCATAATTGTCCTTAGGTTTCCAAGCAGTATACATAACACATGACTGGCGTGCGATGACGTAATATGGCTGCGCTATGAGCCGACCACATAACTCTTATTATACCTACATTCACGGATAATCTCTTTTGGAATTTCGTTTCCATTATCTCATGTGGATTATTATGGGACCACGTATGCACATTTCGTAAATTATTTACACCGTCCAGGGTAAAAGACGCCTCATCACTACACATGACACATGAATGGCAAGCGCTGGTGTAACATGACTGACTGCATATTCTGCTATAAGCCAACTACATAAGTATTAAAATACAGTACCTGCTTTATAGTAATTGTTCAAAGTGTCCTCCGCCAGCTGCAATGCAGTTTTCGGCACGCATCATGAGGGATTGGGTAGCAGAAGCAATGTTGCCTGAATGGTGACGTATGTGCTCTGCCGCTGCAAAAATACGATTCCGCAGTGCTTCTCGGGAATCGACCTTAGTTTCGTAGACTAAGGTCTTCATGTGGCCCCAGAGGTAATAATCTAGAGGCGTAAGATCTGGCGACCTCGGTGGCCATGCAATGGGACCACCACGACCTATCCAGCGGTTAGGGAAGGATTCATCTAAGTAGTGTCTCACGTGCTGAGTATAATGTGGAGGAGCCCCATCATGTTGGAAGTACATTTTCCTCCTTATCGTTAACGGGATGTCTTCCAACAAACATGGTAACTCATTCCTTAGGAAGGCTCCATACGTGTTTCCAGTTAAATTGTTGTGAAACACAAAAGGTCCGATCAACCTGTTCCCAAGCACACCACACCATACATTCACAGAAAATCTCTTTTGGAATTTCGTTTCCATTATCTCATGTGGATTATTATGGGACCACGTATGAATATTTCGTAAATTATTTACACCGTCCCGGGTAAACGACGCCTCATCACTGAATAAAATGACGCTTAACAGTTCGGGATGAGCTTTTATCCAGTGGCAGAAATCCATACGCTGAGCATGGTCGCCTGGTTCCAGATGTTGTACCCTTTGATCATGGTAAGGATACAGGTCTTCGTCATGTAAAGTTCGCCACACCTGCATACGTGATACGCCGATGCGAGAGGCCATTCTACGAGTGGAGAGACGCGGACTTCTATCAATCATGCGAAGAATGTTCTCTCGTGTGTTTCTCATTTGTACATCCTCCCTTTCCGACTGCACAGAAACACTCGGAAGAGAACCAGTCTCACGCAATGTCTGGTGAATTCGCGTAAATACACTTCGAGATGGAATCCTTCGATCGGGAAAACGCCTTTGGTACTCTTCAACAGCAGCACGTGCATTGCCACCGCAAAATCCATACACAAAATGCATATCACAATACTCGACGTGTGAAAACACAAAAGGCATTTCAGCAACTCATCACACAACTAATTTACCACCCATTCACGACCCCACTGCAACGTAATCTGTAGGCAGCGCATGAGCTTACGCTAGTGTGACTCGCGGCACTCAAGGACAAACAGATAAGGGTCTCAGCTGACAGGTACGTATAGTGCGTGGACCTGCAAGAAGACCACACTTTTCTCGGGCCATTATCTCCGTAACCGTTCAACTTTGGACATAGGTGTTTTGGGTTATATCGGCATACTTTAACATAAGGAACACCCTCCCGAAGTTTGGCACATTCCTCCTGGGACACCCTGTATATGCTAAAATAAGATATAAAATGGAAAGTAAAATATAACAAATAGATAAAATTGGAATTGGTGTTCACTTCCTGGCAAGGGAAAGAGATTTATCTCTTCTTCGCAGCATCCAGACCAGCTCTGGGGCTCATCCAGCCCCCAATACGGTTGGTACTTGGGGGTAAAGTAGCTGGAGTATGAAGCTGACCACCCATCTCCATCTAGTGCCGAGATCAAGAGGTATAGCTCCAGCTGTAGCGGCACGGCCCCATACAACTTCACAGCACAGTACTCGACTAATTATGCACAGGGGCACGTTTACTTTTTGCCTTGTGTTGCTTAAGTGCAACATCACGTGCATGATCCATCTGGCCACAATTGCAGCATTATTTGTGTGATCCAGCTGGTCACTGTTGTAACACTATATGTATGGTCCAGTTGGCCACAATTACATTTTTTTAGTACTAATAACCATTTCACCAGGAAATTTACTATCTTCTATTACGTTAGGTTAGATTAATGTAGTAAGGTAAAGTTGTCCCTGTGCTCAACAAATTAAGTACTGCGCCATGAAGGCATAGGGGGGAGTGGCTGTATAGAGCCACATTTTCTTGACCACAGCACTAGCTGGAGGTGAGTGGTCAGCTTCACGCCCCGGCCAGTTTACTGCCAGGGAAAGAGCCCCTGGTACCCATTGGATAGGAGGTTGGGTGGACTCCATAGCTGGCCTGGACGATTTGGAGAAGAGAGAATTCTTGACCCTACCGGGACTCAAACTCCAACCCCTCAGTTGTCCAGCCCGTAGCTGGTAGCTATGCCGACTACGCTCTTAGTTTAACATAGTACTTAAAAAAATGTTCCATTTAATGTAGTACTTCAAATAAATTTTGCATATAAGATGGTAATATATATGTGTACTGAACTGTAGGTTAGATTAGATTAGATTAAAAATTAGTGTGATTTGAACCTCACACTGCAGCTAATCTCCAGTGTCAAAATCTAGTCCTGGATGATAAACTGTTACCCCTGAGTTAAAAGTCTATCTGCAGTCCCATAGGATTAAGACATTTAAAATCCTCTATTCCCAGATGATAAAGGTTAAAGCATTTCCACCACTTAAATATACTGTCATGTATCCAGGTAACGCAAGAAGATATTATGGGTTCCGAATTTAGACGAAGATGTTTATTGGACAGCTACTTGTTTACAGTTATGATTACAGTCACTCTGAAGTAACACCTTCCAGATGTTGTGACCTGACTAGTCCATTATCGCTCACGTTTCGTCTTCAATGGGTACTCACTCCTCCACTGCTATACTCGGTGGAGTGTCTTTGCTCTTGGTTCTTCTCTGATTTCTGCTCTGCACCTTGATCTTCTCTTCTGATCTCTCTTGTTATCTTCTTGGATCTCATCTCTTGTCTCCCTTGTCCTGTGTTCCATTTGGTCTCCTAGCTTATACACTCGGACTAGAAGACACCTTGTTGAAGGGCTTCGTTTCACATGTTAACTAGAAAATTTGTTAGCCTGTCTATTCATTGCCTAGGAATTGCTAGCTGTTGACTAGCAATGAACGCTGGTTTTCACTTTTGACAATGCATTACCTAGAAAGTGACACTTCTCTATGCAGTGGGTTCACCTGTCAAAATACTTTAGCACTTCTCTCATGAAGTTTGTGCCTCAGAAATAAACGGCCTTAATCTACAGTCACATGAATTTTCAATAGTGTGTGCTGTAATCAGTTAAGACTGATTTTTTCAAACTTAAATTGTCATGTTCATTTGTATGAATTACGTACAAATAAATCTGATTTAAAAAGTTTAATTGCAATAATTAGTGAAACATTTCATATTTCATACTTTCTCTAAACTAACAGAAAGAATTACAGAAGAGCCCTCTAGAAGATTTTGCATATATCTATGTTCTAGGTTAGGATTTGTGTTTGACATATGTATGTATAATTTTCCTGTTCCTTCCAAGTTCACCTAATATGATCATCCATTCATACCAATTTATCATAAATAACCACTACAGTTGATACAGGATTGTTAAATAGCCTGTAATCCATCCAGATAATTTTTAGACATAAGGCTGTGTATATGTTTTCACACATACACCACCTTTCTGTGCACATGTGCATGACATATATATATATGTGTATACACACATACTCTTGCATACTGACACATGATAAAAGGTACCATGTATTTCTGTGTATATTCTATATGTAACTGACTAACACTGATAAGAGTCCTCAGTCAGTTCCATCTCCTACTGGTCTTTCAAGTGACTTTTTGAAAGAGTTCATACACTTTTCTTTCCTTCCCATTTTATCCAATTGTAACAACTTCATGGCCCTAATAATGTTAGGTAAAAGGTAAAGTTGTCCCTGTGCTCTAACAAATTATACACTATGCCATGAAGGCTAATGGGGTAGTGAATGTATAGATCCACATTTTCTTGACCTCATCACTAGATGGAGGTGAGTGGTCAGCTTCACAACCCTGCCGCTTTACCCCAAGGGAAATAGCCCCCCCCCCATATCCATTGGATAGGAGGTTGGGTGAACCCCAGAGCCATAGCCAGTCACTATACCGACTACGCTACCACGGAATAATACTAGGTACCAAACATAAATTACAAAATTGTTCCTTGTGTAATATTGTAAACTATCCATTTTTCTTTGTGCTTAATTTCATTTCCCATATACCAGCATAGGGACCGCCTCTGTGGTCTAGTGGTCAGAGTTCCTGGCTATGGGTCCAGAGGTCCCAGGTTTGATTCCCAGCACTGGTACATTTTCTGAGAAGTAGTGGATTTGGAATGGGGTCCACTCAGCCTCATGAAGATAATTAAGGAAATACTTGAATGGAAAAGTAGTGGCAGAGGTCTAAAAAACTGAGATTAACAGCTGTGGGGATCCATTGCGCTGACCACATGACACTCTCTAGTCACAAAAGTTGGCACTAACTTCGCTGACAAATGGCAGTTGCTCGGTCGATATAGTTCACTTCAAGGGAATATAAATATAGCAAGAACCATGGCAGAGGAAGTTTAATATTTACTTCAATTTGTTTTGTATCCAGGTAGAAGATCTGAATAAAGGGAAAGAAGATGCTGAGAGATCGGAGTTGATCCAAGGAGAAACAAAGTTGTCAGACGAATTGTATGGAGGAAGTGATAAAAGTGAGAAGAAGGCTGAAGATGTCATCCAGCGTGACTCTGAGCTGAATCATCATGAAATGGTGCGAGGGATGTTGAATGGCATCGTAGACACTGTGGTGCAAGGTATGCTATTTCCATAAAGTACATACAAAATGCCCAGAGAATGACCTCAGGTTTCCGCATCTGAATTGAGAAAACCTCCTGGTGCATGCAGCATCTCATTTGTAGATTATGTAATGAATATGAATCGGTTTCAAATTGAATAACATGAATTGAAATTTGGGTAAGCTGCAAAACAAAGTGGCTTTGGTCTGCTTAGAGGTCTCTGGTAGCACCTTTTTGCAAAATTTAAGGAAGCAGTGACAACCCTTGGTCAGAATATCATCTGTCACTGTCCAAATTTAAACTAGGTTCTCCAAAATACAAGTTAGGCCTCTTATCTCAGAGCTAAATCCACACAGTTTAAGTGAATGCTCCTACACATAGCATTTCCATGGTTATGCAGCACACAGACACACGTCATAGGAGTTCACTTAAAATGGATTGTCATTAACTCATACCATATAGTGTGTAATGGTAGTCTAATTTTTTTTTTTAACTTTGGCATTACAGCCCCAATTTGGGCCTTGGCCTGCCTTCGTGAAATTCTCCATTTCACTTCATTTTACTAGATTTTAGACATTCAGTAGGACTCCTTGGGCATGTGATCATCTCGTCTCAAGTCCTCTACCTGTACACAGACACAGAAAAATGCATGTGTGCACGCACTTGGGCACTGTGCGCACACACACACACACACACTAAACATCGATGCCCTGAGTGGGAATCCCAGCTTCCAAGCGAGTGAAGACAGTGCATGCCTTAGACCACTTGGCTACCATGACCGACTGCGGTAGTCTGATTAGTGAATAATGAATTCTGATGGATGTGGAAGGAAACATGCGTGGTCTGATTTGAGATGTTATCCTAGCATTCGCCAAGATGGATTGAGGAAAACCAGAAAAATCTCAGGTGATACAGCCAGTCTCCAAGATCTCCCAAATACTGATTAGGTTGTACTCATCACTCAACCACAATGGTCAGTGGAAACATGTAAGCGAATCATATGAACACCAGTTGTTTACTTCAATTGGATCAGCTCAGGATAGAGTACTTACTGCAGATTTCTTGTTGCAGTGTCTTCGTAGGTTTCTTTTTAAAAATGCTGAAATTATCCATTCACAGATGTGCAGTAATGTTCAATTTCTGGCCTTTAAATAGTATTCTTGTGCTACTTGTTGATACCAGGTTCAAATATAGTTATTGTTGAAGATCACCATTTCTTTTTAAATATATTTAAGTTCAAGATGTGTTTCATGATTTAAACTAAACCTGTTAAAGTGGATCTGTGTATACAAAAGTAGAATAAGACTTTTTCACTTTTTCTGAGAAATTGTTGTGGTTTTGAAAAGAATTTTCTATAGACTTTGGTAGATTTATTCTTTTTTTAGCCCCCCTTATTTTCAAAATAAGGTTTTTGTAAGCCATCTGTCTGTAGGTATGGATGTTCCTCTCTGGTGCCTGGATGAACTTTATTCACATTTTATATTCTAGTTGTTAGCCACAAAATTGCAATTTTCTTGAAAATAGCTCTAACAGTTGTGATTAGATTTCAGTGCTTTATGGAGACCATGTCCCTAAATAAAACTGCATGTGTGTATATTCAGGAAAATAACAATATATGCATTACAGGCCAAAATAAAATGTCATCTTTCTCAAAACTGGTTTTCCCAGTCAGATTTATTCGTTGTTTAGTATTAGTAACCAGGGCACGCGGTAGTGTAGTTGGTTGAGGCACTATGCTACAATCCAGAAGATCACAGCTTCGAATCCCAATGAGTTCATTATATTTTTCAATGTACCTAATCCTTCCAGCCACACTATTGCCCTGGTGTCTAGAAAATGTGGGAACCTTGACATCCCTCAACCCTGTGGATTCTCACAGCCTGTTAAACGGATAGCTTCATCCTGCCTTTTATTTTCGGTATTAGTGACCAAGAATCATCTACCAAGTAGCATTCATTCTCATTTTCAACATAGCCGAGGTCAATCATATATGAGAAAGTATGTGCAGTGTCTTCACACCCATTGATTTTGTTCTGATGCTGTAAGGTTCTTCTTTAATGCAGACTGTGAAGCTGATGGAGCAGTGCCAAGAACAAACACAAGTGGTGAAGAGAGTGGAGATTCTTTCAATCAGGTGCATGAATCACAGTCAGACAGTGGTAGTCTGCAGAACCATCCCACAACACCGTCTATCACTCGTGTACCCTCGCAGGTATTGTAGTTTTATTAAACAGCACATATCACTAGCTCATGCTATGTATTGCCATTTAGTAGAATGATTAGCAAATGAAGAATTGGAAAAGATGTAGAGAACTTGGCCATGGTCTAATCTGAGGTACTGTCCTGGAATTTTCATGGAGGGACTGAGGAAGACTGTGTAAACCCTCAGGATAGTACGTGTACTAACCAAGATCTGAGGCTGCGCCATAGCTCAAGCGGTTAGTCACTGGCTTCCCACCGCGGTGGCCTGGGTTCAAGCTCGGGTCTGGTCAAGTGAGATTTGTGGTGGACAAAGTGGTGCTGGGGCAGGTTTTCTGTGAGTACTTCAGTTTCCCCTGCCAATCTTCATTCCATCAAATTCTCCCTCATCATATCACCCAGTGCAGGTACAATAGGCCATTCAGTGGCCGACGTGCCGAGCGGACCCATCTGGACTCCACCACCCCACTATGCCAATTAAAAACCAAGATTTGAACTGAGCACCACCTCCTGAATACAAATCAAAAGTATTACCACATGAGCCAATGTGCTCATTTAGATGTTGCAATATGTGCTGTCAGAATAATCTGTGAATGTGTAACTTCAGTTTTCCAAGTGTGGTGCATAGGAATAGGTTTGAGCTCAAATTTAGTATGAGGCTATTTAATTGATTCTTTTCTTGTTTAACTTTTCAACTACAACAGCTGACAAAACTCAGTTTGCATTGCAGTGTTCTGTAGGCTTGATGGCCAAGGAATGGTAGTTCAGTACCCAACAGGGGCAGGAGGATTTTCTCTTCTCCACATCATCCAGACTGTCTCTGCATTCTGCTGTCTAATGCGTAATAGGGACACTTTTCCTTAGGGGTAAACTGACCAGAATGTGAAGCTGATCACTCTCTTCCATCTAGTATCAAGGTTAAGAACTTGTATAACTGTGCCTCCTTTCCCCATACATTTTTGTGGTACAGTGTCAGATTTGTTAAGTACAGGGGCAACTTCGTTTTTACCCACTCTAGGTTATATAGAGGTAAAGGGCAGAGTGATTGTGAGTTATGAATTGGACAGAATGGTGAAGGAAGCAGGCCGCTAGTTCAGTCAACTTTGTTTATGTCTATAGCATGATTATTTAATGCGTATATGCAACACAGTTTATTTTAAAGTGATTATGAGAAGACAGTGTTGCAATGTGAACCAACAGTTGTCCACTTGCTTGAAAATATGATAAGGCAGACATGTAAGATTCAGATTGATTGTTTACAGCTGTTGCTTCATGATTTTCTCTTTATGACCTTGAGGTTGATTTTAAGGAATATTCATGTTGTATGAGAAAAATATGATAAAAAGAAAAGTTCTTTCTATATTGGAACAAGAGCTCGCAGGTTACATGAAAGGCAGACTTTTTAATGTATATTTCTTTAAAGTGTCAGTTGTCTTTCAGTAATCACAACACTTAATGAGTGCTTGTTACATAGGACTGCTGAAGACAATTTCACCCTCTCTGTCTTCTTATTTTTGCACGTTCATAGACAGCAAATTGAGCACAAAGTGACAGCAAAACAAAATGCAGTCATCATTGACACAGCCTTTTTTCTAATGCTATTCTACTTAAGCATTCTAATTTGCTAATCCCAACTGTTTGTGTGATTCAGAAAGTAAGATTTAAGAGCAATGGAACATATTGTTTAACCTTTATGAGCTGAAGGACACCGTATGGAGACCTTTAAAGTAAAGGCGAGGTGGCCAAAAGACACCATATGGGTATGCGCAGTCCACGCGTGCACACAGTGTTTTAAAATCTAATTTTAAGATAGAAATTCTTGTTCTACTTACATTATTTTTGGACTCCAGCTTTATAAGTAGACTGTCTTCCCTCCTGCATCATCTAACTGAATGTTGCATGTCACTGAATGCAGAGTCCGATGTCGCAATTCATGCACTTTGTCCGTATGTAACTCTGTTTTCCACGCGAAGCATACACAGGAAATATCATTCTCGTATTAGCAGGTAGTCAGCCAGTGTTGCCGATTTGCCTTCTCTAATCATAACGCTTATGAAACATCGCAATTTCAACTATCCCCCATGGCTCCATTTCGCATGGAAGAAGCCGAAGTTAATAGGCAGCTGATAAATGTCACCGATTTAGAATGTGGTACATAAGACTGAAAGTACGTAGAAGAAGGGGCCATGTGCTGGCCTTTCTAAGAAGCATAACAGTACTTCTTGTGTGGCAGAAACGTGTATACACAGACAGTCTCTGAGGGAGTGACCTCACTCCTGTATACAGAAAGGTTGGAGTGCTATAAAAGCATAAACATTTCCTCCCCTTTTGAAGATAAGCCAGTACCAGTATGAATGATGTCAGCAGCAGGCATTTATACTGCAGAAACGTTTTGTGCAGAAACTGAATGCAGTTTTGTGGACAGACGCTCAAAATTGGGGGGGAAAACAATTTGGAATCAATGTAACAATTTTTACAGATTCTAAAACCTGTAAAATACAATATCTGATTCTATATTCTTTCTAGATAAAAGCAGCGTTTATTTCGTTCGTTTATCACAAAAATTGTAGAAATCAGAGCATTTTGAGTAACATGATTACAATTTTTATTACTCTACAATGGCAGGCATTTAAATTAACTCCGTCCCGCTGCCACTACCGGAATTTAAATGGCCAGTCCCATAAAGGTTAAATTCAGACTTGAGGTTCTATGTAAAGTGAAAGCCCAAAGAGTTCATTATTCATAATAACTAAATTAAGTTAATGAAGAGAAAGAATTATAAGTCCCAAATAGTCATATGTTATGGGTCCCCTAAGTCTTTTTTTTTTTCTGATGCTGGAAATATAACCACTTAGAAGTGGCTTGAAGTTGCTTTGCCTTTATAAATTTCCACTGGTAGCATAATAGTCAGAAATTTAGCAGTATATTCATCATCACATTTAACTGCAAAACAACACAATAATATTGATGTCACTTGTAAGCTTGCATACTGTACTTTGGGTTGTGTTTTAGATGGTAAACCCTGTAAATCCTATAAACTCATTTAGGTAATATTAGTGAAGGAAAGTATAATTTTTTAATAAACTTAACTTATCTTCTGCAGCAAAAGCTGTATTGCTTTCTTAATTGCTTAATTTTATGTGTTGAATTTATCTTCTGTTGTTGCAGGAGAGCATGGATGTGAATGAAACAGACACGACTGTTACAGCAAAGTTCACACACGTCCTTCAGAAGGATGCATTTCTTGTGTTCAGAGCATTGTGTAAGCTGTCCATGAAGCCTCTTCCTGAGGGACAGCCAGATCCGAAGTAAACCTCCATTAATTTATATAGAAGTGTATAGTAGAAGTCTGCATTTAAACTGGCTTATTACACTGAACTTATGTAGGATACTGTATAACTGTAGCTCCTATTCTTACACAAATAAATGAAGAACTAACAACAAATTGAGTGATTTTAATGGTCGTTAGGTATTAATGATATGTTACCTCTGGTGATGTTATTTGCAGTCTTTAATAATGGGCTTACATTGTGGTTTTCTATGTTATGGCACAATGTAGTGTTGTAGGTAATAACACTGTCATGAAAACATCAAAATCTCTAATCTCATATACAGTGAAAGTCCCATTCGGTTCTTGGGGGGGGGGGAGGCAGTGCATTTGAAAACATTAAGCTGGGGAGATCTTAAATGGAGGAAGGATTTAAGGTTCTCACAGCAGTGGGTATGAAGAGTTCTGAGATTTCTGTCCTCTAGGATCTAAGGCCATGTAGTCCATTGAAACTCAAACAGTGTTCAGAGGAACATGTCGCCTCCATCTTCAGGGTCGAAGAATTAGCCAAGCAAGAACGCAGCATGAAGTAGATAACAAGGAGAGAGTGCTGTCTGCATCATGCTGCTTTCTTGCTTGGCTAATTCTTTGACCCTGAAAATGGACACAATATATTCCTCTGAAACGTAGGTTTACTTTCCTCAGACTACACACCGTTATATCACAGAAGACAGAATTCTTTAAATGTACCTAATTTAATGTTGAAATTATTGGCTTGAGATTGTTGAAATTGAACATTAAGTGAGATAAACTCTTAAGTTGAGGAACATTGGATAGGGGTTTCACTGTATATTTTCTGATATTTATTCTTTCATTGTAGATCCCATGAGCTGCGTTCAAAGATTCTGTCCCTCCATCTTCTGTTATCAATCCTCCAGAATGCTGGTCCAGTGTTCAGAGCCAATGAAATGTTTGTGACAGCCATCAAGCAGTACCTGTGTGTAGCCCTCTCCAAGAATGGAGTTTCTTCCGTCCCTGAGGTGTTTGAACTCTCACTTGCAATATTTCTGGCACTCTTGTCCAAGTTCAAGATGCACCTGAAAATGCAGATTGAGGTATGACATTCTGTGGAACATCTTCAATTTTATATGTTCAACATTGAACTAAAATAAACTATTAGAACTCTAGTCTGACTTAAATATTTTGTTAGTAGAATATATTTTGTGTATATTCTGCATTTATGTTGAGCATAACTCTAAATGTTATCAGAGAAAAAAATGCTTCAAACGAAAGCTGGTGGAGAAGAAAACAACACATTTTGTGTGCCATACACTTTTTCTGTAAATCTTAAGTTTCTCGAGATAAGCAAACAAATGTGACAGTGTATGAAATTCTGTATTTAGTAGTTATCATGATCTCCTGGCTGAACAAGCAGCTTGGTACAGCATTGGCCACTCTAGACTTGTATTTAGGGTGTGCTCAGTTCATATATCCGCCAGGACGCCAACTCTCCTGATTCATTTTTTTGGGGGTTTTTTCTGTCATGGAAAAGTGCCAAGACCATACCTCAATTAGGTCTCAACCACTTCCTTTCAAATCCTTTCCAGTTAATCAGTCATCCTACAATTTGACACTGTATAATTGAGACTTCATTCATCAGTGGCTCTACAGCTCTTTGTTGGGCCCTGACCTCTTCAGTTTCATAATATTTTTTACACAAACAGACTCCTTAGAGAAGTGACCAGCCTGTCACACAGCTGCTGCCTACACAGGACAGCACAAACACAGAATAAACATGCACACAGACATATATGCCTTGAGTTGGATTTGAACCCACATGTATTTGATTTACTGACATAAAATAACCCGTATACTCAGAGGTTACTGAACTGAGAGAAAACAATGGAATATCTTGGTTTACCCTTTGTTTCAGGTATTCTTCAAGGAAATTTTCCTGAATATCCTAGAAACATCAAGCTCTTCATTTGAACATAAGTGGATGGTGATCCAGGCATTGACGAGGATCTGCGCCGATGCTCAGAGTGTTGTTGACATTTACGTCAATTATGACTGTGACTTATCTGCAGCAAATCTGTTTGAAAGGTAAACATTTGTGACAGAAAACATGATGCAGTGAACTGTATTATTATAATATTTTTTGAAAACCTGAAATTAGTTTAGTTTTGAAGTTTGTTAAGATGAAAATAATTTTGAGATGCATTTCACAGCAATAAGTATGCATCTTGCATCTCTACACTGTTCATCTGTTCATTCACCCATACATGTGTGATAAATGCTTTGGTTATGTAAAGGATTTGATGAGCTTTAATATTGAGCGTCCTTATTAAATTGGCAACCCCATGTTATTTTGGCCCAAATTGGAGTCCTAAATATATTTATAGATATAAGTTGGTAAATACTGAATAAGCAGAAAGATGTTTTAAGACAGAAATTGTGGCCTGTAATAAGATCAGTATTTTATGATAATACGTTTGTGGCATACAGCATATTGTTTTTCAGAAAATGTCTATCACAAATTAGTCACCTTCAGGAGTGTATATATACTGTTTCTATACTCTTACGGCTTTGCTGAAAAATGATACCAGGCTGTATTTTAGTTTCTATATACATTTAATTCCTGGTACTCATTTCTGTTAGAGGCTGAGTTGACCCCAGGGCCATAGTGCGGCTGGAAGGATTAGGTCAATCAAAAGAAATCCAGTTACCTCATTGGAACTTGAACCCGTGACTTTCTGGCTTGTAGCATAGTGCCTCAACCAACTATGCTACTAATTAAATAATTTTCCTGGGGAGTAAAGCGCAGCCAGCACGTAAGGCTGACAACCTTACCGCCATCTTTGAGCCAATTTTCTAGATAATGTGGTACCCTCAATGTCTCACAACCCTATGGGCCTTCACGGCCTGTTACAGAGATAACTTTATTTTTTAACTTTTTATATATATATATTTAATGTTAAAAATTGTATTTGAAATAAAATATAATACAAAGACAAATTTCTGTTACCACAGAGCCTAGATTGCAGGATACTAGAGAATTAATGTCCATTGCAGTTTTTTATTATTATTATTATTATTGTTATTTTATCAGATTATATAGCCGCAAGCTTTCTTTGTACACTGTTCATCAGTAGACGCTGTTATTTTATGCTGCAGACTAGTCAATGATCTGTCAAAGATTGCACAGGGACGACAAGCTCTGGAGTTGGGTGCTACACCAAATCAAGAAAAGTCAATGAGGATTCGCGGCTTAGAATGCTTAGTTTCTATTCTTAAATGTATGGTGGAATGGAGTAAGGATCTTTATGTGAATCCAAATTCACAAACAACTTTGGGTAAGCATTCTGTAATTTGTAATGTTCATAATTGTATGACGTATTTTCATTGTTCAGTTTCTCTTACTAAACTGACATGTGTTGTACAGTATTTTTGTCATATATGAATATTCTGTTTGTGAACGTGTAGTCAGACTTGTAAATAACAGACCTTTCAGCAACATTGATCTGTGTATGCAGATATTACAGTATAATCATTCACAAAAGGAGTAATGTGATCTTAGTGAGACTCTTGATTCATTTTCTTTATTAACTCTTTGACTGGCGCGGGTGTGTTTTAACGCCCGGACGATGCCAGCCGTTCCCTGGCGTTGGCATGTTTTAACGCTTTGACAGTCTCTTCCCTTCTTTGCTCTCTTGGCACTCATCAACCAAAGACATATATATGATAGTTTTTGTGCATGTTTGTAAAGAACCCTTGTAAACTTTGTGGGGGTCTATATTACTGTCAGAACCCTCTGAGAAGGAAAAGGTCAGAAAATATTTCACATTCATTCAGTTTCACCATGGCTTCTTGCAGCAAGTGTCTTCGTGTTCCTACAGACCAGCTGGAAAATGTTGTGAACGAGATTTGTTCTGATGATGATAGTGGCGATGAAATAATGATTCCTGAATTGGATGAAGTTGATAGTGACAATAATACAGTGATAGACAATGATCCACAAGACAGTAATCATGAACATTTACCTACCACGAGTGCGGTGCCTGACACGCCCATCTCATGAACGTACGGAGACATTGTACCCCCAATATTTTCATTTGCTAATAGTTTCGGGATCAAAATTGATATAACACATAAAATGCATCCCTTTTCATGGATTAAAATTTTTTCTGGATGACGACTTGGTAAATCACATCACAACTGAAACCAATCGCTATGCTCACCAGCACTTCAACACACATGAGTTAGCTCCTCACTCTCGAAAACACAATTACAATTATGTCACATCAGATGAAATCTGGACATACTTAGGAATTGTGTTCATGACAGGAATCGACAAACGCCCTGAAATTGAAGAATATTTGTCCACTAGGCCCCTATTTCACACCCATGGTATGGACAAAACATGTCTTTGCGGTTGAATAGTTTCATTCTATTCAAAAAGAACACAACAAACGAAAAATACAAGAAGAGAAATTACAGATTCAAAGATTTTATATTGGACTGTGTAGAAAAATGACTGAACCAAACAAACAGTGTGGAGAGGGAGAAAAGTCAAGGAATGAAGTGGATGACGAATCTATTGGGTCAGACTAGAGTGCAGTCACGCCTCCGCCCTCGACCTTGAAAAGGCCAACAGGGAAAGAGCCAGTAAATCGTTTAGAGGGTGGCTTGAAAATTCACAAAATGGTTCATGTTCCTCCCAGTAACAATAAGAAGAATGGTGCCCTGAGAAAGTGTCGCGTGAGTGCTAAGCACAAGGTTAGAAAAGAAGCAAGTATCATGTGTGCAGGCTGTGGTGTGGCTCTCTGCAAACTTTCATGTTTCAATGTTTATCACACGAAGAAAAACTAATAAAGAGGTATGGAAAGGAATTTATAGCATAATATATTGTATTTTAATTATTTCCTGAAAATTTCGTTTTTAAAACCCAATTTTTGTTGAAGTTGTTTAGGAAAAAGTAACTACATGCATTTTAGCGACATAAGGTTTAAAGGGCCTGCCAGGACAGGGGTGGGATTTAAATACCCTTTGCGCCAGTCAAAGAGTTAAAACCGTTACAGCACAACAATATTAAGGTCAGTGCCTAGTTTGACACTGCTAGGCAGTGACCTTAATATTGTTGTGTTGTGATGGTTTTAATAAAGAAATAGTATATTACAACACAACAGGATGCATGAAATGAAAATTATAAATGAGACTCTTGATTGCAGTTTGAAAAATGTTAACCCATCACAAGGTGCAGTTTGCAGCCATCACCTCTATCAAAATACAGAATTTGGCATTTAGAAAGTATCGTGTCTCTCCTGTTGTGGTTTGGAGCGCATAAGCTGTAGACCTCTTTTGCTTACTTACAATCATTCTATCATTGGTTTTAATGGAACCCACCTCACACTTCTGTGTTTCTGTAACTTAAGGTTCTGCTTCAGACATTTGTCCATATATTACAATGAAGGCATGGATCTTATATTGCTGCGATGTATAACTATAATTTCACTTTTATCAGAGTTTGTGCCATGTTCTCGATTTTCCATATCTTCCATGATCATATTACATAGAGGAATGTTACCAGAAATTTGTTATTATTTCCCTGTAATAACTTGAAAATTGTTGGTAAGTTGAGTTAGGGTTTCTTCTATGTCTAGAAATAAGGTAAAAGGTAAAATTAATTAATTAACCATCACACCATGCATGTGTGGGGGAGTTGAAGTATAACTCCACCATTCTTAATCTCAACATTAGATGAAGGTGAATGGTCAGCTGATTAAAATGTCTTTAAATGAAACACACAGTAAAGTCTGTATAGGTAAATATTTTTCTGATAATTTTCCTATCCAGAATGGTCTGAAACAAGGAGATGCTTTATCAGCACTGCTTTTCAACTTTGCTTTAGAATATCCATCAGGAAAGTCCAGTGAAACCACATGGAACTGAAATTAAATTGGACACATCGCTGCTTTTCTATGCTCATGATGTGAATCTATTTGATGATAATATTGTGACGAGGATGGTGCAACAGGAAGTAGGGGTCACATGAACTCTGCATTCTCGCGAGTGACGTCACATACCCCCACTCCTTCCACCATTACGCAATGCTCGGTAAAGACCCATCCCCGCAAGTCTGTGACATCACACAACAGGGGAGTCCATGTATCGACTGTTGCTAGGCAATCGGTAAACATGACGTCACGCAGCAAGGGAGCCCGTTCAATGACTGTTGCTAAGCAGTTGGTAAACACGACGTTACACAACAGTGGTACCTATCATGGTCAGTGCCGAGCCTAAATAAGGAGCAGCGAACACTATTCAGAATAGTGAGTAACGATTAACGAGTCAGTTGCAATCTAGCAGTCGACAAGTCGAGTTGTATTGAGTGAATGGAAATGAATACAGGAGAAGTATTTGTAATACTGCAGATGGCAGTAGTGGTATAATTGTAAATGGTGTAATTGTGAGAGTGAGTGTTCAATAAATTCACTATATCCAATACGGCGTGAAGTTATTTGTCACGTGACCTACCCAACACGTGACAATATAGGTACCATAAAGGAAAACACAGAAACTTTAGTTGGTACTAGTAAGGAGGTTGATCTAGAAGGAAACGCAGAGAAAACGTAAGTATATGTAGCTCTCTCACCACCAGAATGCAGGGCAAAATCATGACACAAAGATAGCCAACGGATATGAATATACAAAACTGTTATTTTGCGTGTGGTTCTGTATGGGTGCAGAACTTGGTTCTGACCTTAAGGGAGGAATATAGACTGAGAGTTTTGGAAAACAGGGTTTTGAGAAAATTTGCATTGAAGAGAGATGAAGTGATGGTATGTTGGAGAAAACTACATATTGAGGAGTTTCATAACTTGTACTCTTTGCTAAGTATAATTAGAATGATCAAATCAAGGAGGATAAGATGGTCAGGGCATGTAGCGCAAATTGTGGACAAGAGGAATGTGTATCGGATATTTGTGGGAAAGCCAGAAGGAAAGGAAGACCAAGATGCAGATGGGTGGGTAATATTAAAATGGATCTCAGAGAGATAGGCTGGGATAGTGTGGACTGGATTGATCTGGCTCAGAATATGGACCAGTAGAGGGCTCTTGTGAACATGGTAATAAACATTCAGGCTCCATAAAATGCTGGCAAGTTCTTGAGTAACTGGAGAATTGGCAGCTTCTCAAGAAGAGCTCAGCTCCATGAGTGAGTGAGTGAGTGAGTGATGTATTAAGTTTGATCAAAAGGTTTAACAGCCACTTCAGATTTACATTAAGAAAATGTAAGAATTGTACAGTTTGCAGTAATTACTTTCACAGAATTTGAAGTTATAACTTTATATTTCAGAAGGTAACTTCTAAGCTCTTAGTGGACAGTCATATGAACTGCTAATTGTTGTTGTTTGAAAGGTTCACATACTTGAACTTGCCGACACAGGTGCTGATCGTCACAAGGAAACTGACAGTGAGTTGGCGCCTTCTAAAGGCAGCAGCAGTATTAAGTCTTATGGTAGCAACAACAGTCTCAATTCTGGCAGTTCAGGACAGGGCAGTATGGTCGGTTCTTCTGGTAACAGAGAAGTTCCTGACACTCCAGAGCAGTTTGAAGTTCTCAAACATCAGAAGGAAGTCTGGGAAACAGGCATTACTTTGTAAGTAAAGGACGTATTGATTATAATCAATATTTATAATTATAATCAATATTTGCAGTAATCCAATATATGAGTAATAATTATTACTCATATATTGGATTACTGCAAATATGGGCAGATGGAAAGGATATGGCCAGTTTAAAGTTACAATCCCAGAAGAACCAAGGAAAACTATGAACCTTGGTTGGTATAAAGAGTTCCTTAGCTTTCACTCAGTAGAAATAAGTGATAGGTTCCCCCAAACATCTGAAATAGCTATAATCCTCCAACAGAAAGAGAGATAATTACCAAGGCTTGCCTGCATGTACTGTACAAGCTGAAAAGTTTGGCATGTGTATCGGGCATCTGTTAGTGTTGCCATTGGTGCAATGAAGCCCAGCGTGTCCTTGCATGAACAATAGAATAATGATGTTAATTGAGTCAACCCAACACTTTCCCACTTTTCATTTTTAGAGAATAGTATTTTCTTTGTCATAATTCTGCATCCAGAAGATGACAGTAATGGATATCCAGGCTGTGCTTAAATAACTGTATTAGCCCAAATATAAGGTGAGGACTTCTTATCAAATACCGCTCCTCAGAAAATATGTTAAATTATATTGCAAGCCAGAAGGTTGCAGCTTCGATTCCCACTGAGGTCGTAGGATTTTTCAGTTGACCAATTCATTCCAACCCTGGGGTCAACTCAGCCTCTAACAGAAATGAATACAAGGAATCTTCCTCGGGTAAAGGGCGGCCAGCCGGTGCATGAAGGTGATGACCTCACTTTCATCTGTGAGCTTATTTTGTAGATAAACATGGGAGCCTTGACATCTCACAACCCTGTGGGCCTCTACGGCCTGTTACAATGATAGCTTTACCCGTCCCCCTTCCCAGACTTTCTCATTGGGGAAGTACGGTTTGGCTTGTACTCTCTCTCATACCACATATTCAGAAGTTGAGTAAGTTTTGCAGTTTGTGAGATATAGGATGGTGTAAATAGACATAGCAGTACACTGGGAAATTGTCCTCTAGTGAAAGCTGTAATATTAATAATGCACTCAGGTAAGCAAGAACAGAAATGAGAATTGAGTCAGTAATTCTTACATGCAAGATTCCAAGCCCTTAGATGAATAGTCAGACTGATACTTGTACCATTAACCCTTTGAAGCATATTGATTATTATATGTACCACAACAAAAATAAAAAACTCCACACTTTGCCCATAGAGTGTATTTATGTATTTCTTATGATTCTCAGAATAAACAGCGAGTTTTCTTTAAACAGCAGTAACAGACTGGTCTTTCAATGGAGATGCAAAATGTTTTCTCTGAAGTGGGAAATGAATGTTTAAACATTAAATAACATTCCTCTTTTGAAAAATTTTTGTGTATAGTTAGAGTATTAGTTACCATGAAATAGATATGGGAAATGAAGTGAAAGTATATTTTGTACAAAAATGGATAAAAATGAAAAATAAAATCATATATTTCAGGTTCAATAGGAAACCGAAGAAAGGTGTGCAGTTCCTGCAGGAGCAAAGGTTGCTGGGTAATACATCTGCTGAGATTGCAGAATGGTTACATACAGATGACCGTTTAGATAAAACTGGTATTGGAGATTTTTTGGGTGATAGTGATGACTTCAGTAAAGAGGTATGACTGCTGAAGAATTGACTTTTGCCATAATTTTGTAGCTGTCATAATATGTCATACCTGTGCTTAAGAATGTTGATTTTTTGTTGTAGGTTATGTATGCATATGTGGACCAAATGGACTTTAACAATAGAGATATAGTGTCAGCATTACGCTACTTTCTGGAGGGTTTTCGTCTGCCTGGTGAAGCTCAGAAGATTGATAGACTTATGGAGAAATTTGCTAGCAGATACTGTGAATGCAATCCAAAGTAAATGTGCTACATATTATGCTGTAGTTTTAAATTCTCAGATTCTGTCTGTTGTAAGTTACCCTTGATTGAGCAGCAGTTTTTTAGGATAGAAGATGCTATAATTGTAAGATGCACGCTTGATTTTTAAGGCGCAACAATGAACATGGGTGTAACAGTGAATGCTGTCTGATCTCCATTTATCACAGAGTATTAATTAATACTAAAACGACTTGGTATTTTCGGCCTCCAAGACCCCATTAGGTGTTTTATAATGACATTTTTATTAATGGAAATACATGTAAATACTTTTGAAGTCATCTTTGTTGCTCTCTTTATTTATTTATGTTCACTGGCCCATGACTAATGTTTTAAACATAAAGATCTTCGTTGGGTATTAGTCATGCAATATAATTTTTTTAACGTCAGTTCTTAGACACCATCAGATATAAAATGCGCCCCAATTTCAGGAATTAAAAAAGAATATGTTTTGGAATTGAGGAAATCTTGGTATTCATATTGTACAGGGTAATAACTGTAATATATTTCTGTTTCTCCTTAATTTTTTATACCAGAAGTTTCAACGAAATATTGAATGTGCTTTTGTCTCACTGTGTAAAAAGTATTGTAGAGACATCATATGCAGCCGCGGAAATTGTTGGCAAAGAGAAAGAAAGAACTACATAGCATAAACAAAATTACGTGCCTAATAATTTTACTGATAATATATTGTGACATGTTGACCCCTACCTCCCCAGCGGCACGTGGCGGTAACGTAGCGCTCGCGTAATAGGCGAGTCATCACCCCGCCACTCTCCCTGCAGTGACGTGCCGAGCGGAGCCGAAGTTAGCCGAGTCCCCACATCCTGGCAGCTATGCAACGCGCAACGCGCGGTGACGCAACACGGTGACGTGGAACCGCTTCCTACTGTGACGTGGCACACAACAGGCACCACTGTGGCTATATGAGGGAACTGCACAGCAGCTACCAGTTAGTTGTAACTTAGCAGTCGCGGAGGCAGTTGTAACGTGGCCATCGCCGAAGACAGTTTCGAGTTAGTTCCGTGCAAGCCTACGAGCGAGTGTGTTATCAGCAGTTCTCAAGGTAGCAGCCTGTGGGTGTGCGATAACTAAGAAGTCATCAAGCGGAAGACTTATTGTGTGTTTTCGAGACTTAGTGAGTGCTGTAGTACAGTTATATCTGGAGTGTGTAATTCAGGGAGATTTGTATAGCTCCCGCGTTATTAGTACATGAAGATTTTGGTTGTAGGGTTTGTAAAGTGTAGAAACCCGCAACTGTGTTATAATTAATTGTAGCCGATATTTTTAGATTGTTCAATAAACCAATTAACGATCTCTACAGCGTATTCAGTAACAAAACACGTTACAATATGTAATAGAAACATAATAAAGAAAAGAAACTGATCGGTCTCCAGAGACATGTGTTTTCCTTGTTCTAGTCATCAGTTCCAGTTTCATTGGGTGTGTCATCCGCATTCTTTATGTCGGAACTTAGAGTTGATACTTCATCTAGATATTTGATGGCACATTTAATGCTTGAACAATCCTGTCACCAAAGTGGTTTCCAAATGTTTTTGCATTGTCAGTCTTCGCCTGTTTTTATAATTGTATACTTCATTAAATTTCATGGTTTTGACACCCCAGCTAAGAACATTACCTTGATGTTCATTCTTCACTCCGTGTCTTTTCAGCTTACTTTATTTTATTAAGAAAAATTACATTTTCAGTAACTATTTCATGGACACAGACCACTATATGCAATCCCACCTTTGAACTTCATAATTTACTCTCATTTATAGTACCAACATAACAGCCATGCTAACTTTCACAGTTGGAGTAACACTGTATTCACTTTATATAGGGTCCCAGAATTTTACAAGGTAATAGTTCTTCAAAAGACATACCTTTTGTTAAGTTCTGAGGTTTTCACAGTGATGATTGTTGAGATTGTGTTCTTGTAGGCTGATATAGACCTTCCAGACCAGTGACGACCTTCCTTGGCAACCTGCCCACATAACTGAACCAGTTCCTCAACATTCGCCTCCCAACCCTGAAGGTGGAGGCAGTGTGTCCCTACAAAATGTCAGCATCTACCTGCGAGACTACACAACGTCAACCCAGAAGACCGCAATCTAAATTTTTAAACAATAACACAGCAACAAAACAAAATTTTTGCTTATGCTTTGATTTGATCCTTTTAAGTAATTAAGAACTGGTTCTAGGCATGGACGTAATTCATAAATATGTCTTTAAATTTTGTTTTATGCATTTATGTTATGTTAACACACAGATATGGTGATTGTGCAAAACTTTGTGGTTGTGTATGACAAACTGAACTCTGAAGTGTGAATTTCTTCTAAATAATATTTAAAAATCTTGTTCTGACCTCACATAATCGTACAGAACCCTAAAGTACACTGTCAGCAGAGTACAGAGTTCTTTAATGTTAAAGTAGGTCGTACATAAAGTAACCACTCCACTTTAAAGGGTTAATGTAGTCGGAACCTGTATGCGCAGTAATAGATCACTAAACTGCACAATGATGAATTGATAATACACTTTATTTTCATCATATAAATTAGAAAATTTGAAGAAAAATAGGTGTAATTTTTCCTAGAACTTCCATCTTTACGTTAATATTGACTGATAATGTTCGTTTTTTATTTATAGCAATGGATTATTTGCGAGTGCAGATACCGCTTATGTGCTGGCCTATTCTGTGATAATGCTGACTACAGATCTGCACTCTCCACAAGTGAAGAGCAAGATGACCAAGGAGCAGTACATCCGACTGAACCGTGGCATCAGTGACAGCAAGGATCTGCCTGAGGAATACTTGTCCAACATCTATGATGAAATTGCTGGCCATGAAATCAAGATGAAGGGAACTGTGAATAAACCAGGAAAACAGTGTAAGTCATGATATAAAGACTTCTTTTAAATAAAGGGAAAAAAAGGTTGAATCTTTATTGTGCAGATTTGTGTTTGTGCACATAAAGTTTGCTTGGTAATACTGCCATACCCTCTGCTTATATCAGTCTCCTGTTGGTGCTACTATTTGCAGCAGCAGGGTCGCCAGTGTATGAAGATAAACCAAATTTTAAAATCTTTTTGCCCAAATTCCTAAAGGATTAGAATTTGTCAGCAATAAATAATCACTCTTTACATGGTTAACCTATAATTAAAATATAACATACACTATCAAACGAGATAAATAATAAATTAAATACAGTACTTAAATCCTGATGAGGTCATTGGATTTTTTCAGTTGATCTAATCCTTCCAGCCTCACTGTGGCCCTGGGGTTTACTCAGCCTCTAATAGAAATGAGTAAAAGGAGTTAATTAAATAATTTGACTGGGGAGTAAAGCGCGGCCGGCACATAAGGCTGACAACCTTACGCCATCTTTGAGCCGATTGTCTAGATAATGTGGGACCCTCAACGTCTGACAACCCTATGGGCCTTCATGGCCTGGTACAGGGATAGCTTTACTTTTTACTTACAGTACTTAAATTGAAATGCAAGTTAACCTTATGAGTTACATACAGTATTACAGTAAATCAAGAGCCCTTCATATGACCATGCCAATCACTGATCACATTAGGATGCTACAAACAGCCATTTGTTATCTATTTCAGTTTCTAAATAGAGGTTTTGCTTACTATGCTTACTATACTACTTACTGTCCTAAGAGAAACTCATACAATGTATAGAATGGATGATCTAGTAAAAATACTTTTAGCCTGTGTTTAAAGTCTTACATCCATCTGATGCCTGTGAAAAGCCACATTACCACAAATAAAAATGTTTTCTTTAGGCACCACTGGGATATTAAAGATGAAACCAAGCAAGTCCTCTCAAATGGTAACATTTCTGACTTATATTTTGTAGGTCCTCAGTTCAGATCTCAGTAATGACACTGTTTATCCTGAGTGAAGTATTTATTGTTTTCCACAATTCCTTCTTGCAGTCACTGGGTTAGTATCTTAAATTAAATGATAGCTGCTTCCTCCCATTTCTTTTCAATTCATTGTCATCTGATCATTCAAAGTTATGTATTCTGACAGCACTGGTAAATAAACTAGATAAATACATAAATAACATGAGAGAGTCATGACTCCATTGAGAAATGTCAGCATACTGTTCAGTTGTGAAGCACCAGAACTTCATCTCTTATTGATATGTTACATTTATATAATTAAATGTATGTAACAGAAGTTGAAAGGAATAATGTTAGTGTTGAACAACCCACACAGAGACCTTTGTAGATAAATCTTCATACATATTCATGTGGTATTATAATTTTAATTTAATCTTTGAAACTTCTGTAATAAATCAGTTAGCTGTTCTAGTAAGACTTCCCTGAATTACTTGTCACAATAAAAGGTAAAGTTATAGTTGTCCCTGCACTCAATTAATTAACACCATGCCATGAAAGCATATGGGGGGAAAGAATGTATTCTTGACCTCAGCATCAGATAGAAGTGAGTGGTCAGTTTTATGTCCCTGCTGCTTTACTTTTGAGAAATAACCCCCAGTTACAATGGATAGGAGACTTAGGCCCCAGAGCCTGTCTGGATGCTGTGGAATGGAGAAAAATCTCTTGTCTCTGCTGGGAATCAAACCGTGACTCTCGAACCTGTTTCACTGCGGACTGAGCTGTAATAAAGCCGTTAGCTGTTTTAGTGAGACTTCCCTGAATTCCTTGTCACATAGAAGGTAAAGGTATAGTTGCCACTGCCCTCAATTAATTAACGCCACGCCATGAAAGCATAGGGGTTAAGTGCATGTATTCTTGACCTCAGCACCAGATGGAAGTGAGTGGTCAGTTTCATGTCCCTGCTGCTTTACTTTGGGGAAATAACCCCCAGTTACAATGGATAGGAGACTTAGTAGGCCCCAGAGACTGTCTGGATGCTGTGGAATGGAGAAAAATCTCTTGTCTCTGCTGGGAATCGAACCCTGGCTGTCGAACCCGTTTCACTACAGACTGAGCTATTCTGTATAATGCAATACAGCAGTACTTCATTTATATGTGGATATTTATGACTGTCAGCACAACAAATAAGCAATTAACTTACCACCACGTTTGTGTCAATTGAATTTGTTAACTATGTTAAAATTGCGTGGCATGTTTTGGTTCACTTGGAGCCAACATCAGATACATTATTTCAGGCCAAAAAATAGTTCAGTTTAATTTAAGTTTATGTCGTTACTTACTCGGGTCAACTCAATTTTATAATTTGGTTGTATTAAATAGTGTCAGTCTTCATAAAGTTGGTACGTATGATTATGTTAGATATGATTTTTAAGTATGATTTTTTATTGTTTGTTAATTTCGTTTTATATTATCGAAACAGTGCGCTATCGTATATATGAATATTAAATAACCTATGTTGAAGTTGTTCTTATGTAATGTGTCGTCTCTGATACTGTTGTGATGTGTTTCTTGTCTTTGCTACCTAAAATGTAGTTTAACTTTTTATTCACTTCTACGTTTATTATTTTAGTGTTTAGATATCTCCTCATTTTTTATTTAATTATTTGTTAAATGTGTGTAGTTTAACTATACATTGTTTTGTATACTATATCTTGTTTTTCCATGAATTATATATTTGATAGGTTGATTCGCCTGTAACAGATGAATTGTTGTCTGTGAATTAAATTGATGCTTTTTAGTTATTTCTTATATTGTTTTCATTATTATTCTACTTGTATTATTAGTATATTAATTTGATTTGTTTCATTCTGGTCCGTCACACTAACAATTACAAAGACAAAAATGATAAAACTTAAATAGTCACATTAGACGGTGTTATTTTTGTCTTTGTATTAGTATATTACTTTTACTTGCTTCTTTTCTATTATGCCGTTGTCTGCAGCACTGTTTCTTGTTTCTTGTTTCATTGTTTATCATGCACTAACTGTCACCAACTGTGCAATGATATTATGTATTGGTGATTGTGGGACCAGGGGAAGGAGGCCGAGGGAAGCGTGGGGATAAGAGGTAAAGAGGGCCGGGCATGTGGGTCTTATATATATATATATATATATGGGGAGGGGTTGGTGCGATTAATATTTTCTAATTTGGATGTGATGCTAATATCATATCATATATCAGGTTGTATCCCTTTATTAATGTCATTTAATTGTGTACCATGTTTGCTGGCTTCATGGATGTAGAATCTTTTATAGGTATTTAACATTTCACCTTTTTCTCTGTGCATAATATTTTCGTTTTGTTCTCCATTGTGTCTTATTCTTGACCTGTATCCATTATATGTTGGGCAAATCTTGAATATTGGCCATTGTATTTTTGTATCCCTGATGTGTTCCCTGTATCTTGTTTTGAATGTGTGGCATGTTTGACATATATATATATATATATAGACGTAGGTAGGCTGAAAAGTAATGCACACATGCTTGTAGAGCGCGAACGAAATGACTTTCAGAAGCACGCCAGGTGGCATGTGGAAGTAACATTCCCCCTCAATACGCATGCGCAAGTTTGAGGTCGTTGCGTTCATCCAGTGTATTTCGAGAAGCGGAAGTATGGAGACGTGTTCTAGTGCTATGTCATCGCGAGTTAAGCAGCGTGCTGTTATCAAATTTGTAACTGCTGAAAAAGTGACTCCTACTGAGATTCATTGTCGTTTAAAGACTGTTTATGGTGACGATGCTGTTGATAGGTCTACTGTAAATCGATGGGTAATAAAATTTCATGGTTGCGAGCCTGGAAAAGCCATAATTGTTGATGAAACACGCAGCGGATGTCCGATCACTGCCACAGACGATAATCATCGCAAACTCGTCGACGATTTGATTCAAAATGACCGGCGAATTACTCAAAAGCGTATCGCAAACCATATTGGAATATTCAAGGAACGTGTCGGTTTCATTATTGAACAATTGGGATACCGTAAAATCTGTGCACGATGGGTACCACGCCGTCTCACAGACAAGAACAAACAACATCAATTGGAATGCTGCGAGCAACTTTTGCAGCGCTACCATAACGAAGGAGACGACTTTCTTTTGAATATTGTGACGGGGGACGAGTCATGGGTCCATCGTTACGACCCGGAAGAGAAAAGACAGAGCGCTGAATATCGACATCTGTCTTCTCCTCAGGCAAAAAGTTCAAAACACAACCATCCGCCAAAAAACTTCTTTTGACTGTGTTTTGGGATGCTGACCGAGTTTATGTGACCGATTTTCTGGAACGAGGGGCAACGGTAAATTCTTCTCAGTACATACAGACTCTAAAACACCTCCGGCGTCGAGTTTGTCATGTTAGAGGCAGCCTGGCGCCAATAATCTTGCCACATGACAATGCTCGTCCACACACCTCGCACGCAACTGAAGAGGCTCTGCGAAACCTGAAGTTTGAACCGATTCCACACCCTCCTTATTCCCCCGATCTTGCGCCTTGAGATTTTTATTTTTTTCCTCTCCTCAAGAGAGACCTGAAGGGTAATCATTACACCTCGGACGATGAGGTGGAGGCAGCTGTCAAGTCCTGGATTCAAGAAAAGTCAGAAGAATTTTTCAGAGACGGAATGAAAAAACTTGTTACACGTTGGGAGAAATGTGTTAGCCTTAACAGTGACTATGTTGAAAAATAAATATATGTTTTTGAAACTTAAGAATTGTACTTTAATGTACTTTTTGCCCGATCTTGCTATTTGTTTTTGTTTGCGCTCTACAAGCATGTGTGCATTACTTTTCAGCCTACCCACGTATCTACATCTACTTGGGCATTCCCTATATTGCAGTTGATACACACCACTTAAGTTAAATCTGTCTGTGGTATTTTTCTTCACTCTCAGGTGGTGTTTATGTTGTTTCTAGTTCTGTACTCTATTCCTATATTAGTGTTTCTAAATAACTTCGTGTTTGCTCTTGTTTCTGATTCAAAGTACTTCTTTTTTAAATATCTCATATACCATTAATTATATTCACTCATTGTCATTGCATGAAATGACAGTCAAACACAATTGTTTGCTGTTGTTGTTGTTGTTGTTGTTGTTGTTGTTGTTATTGCTGTTAAATTGTACCTTGAATTTTCTTCCGCAGTAATCTCAAGTGAAAAGCGACGACGCTTCTTATGGAACATGGAAATGGAGGTAATCTCTACAGCTGCTAAGAACCTCATGGAGTCTGTGAGCCATGTCCAGGCCCCCTTCACATCTGCTAAGCATCTTGAACATGTGCGGCCAATGTTTAAGGTGAGGACATGTATATTGCTACAATCACAGTATTAATGTAAATTGTCACATATATTCAACATTATCCATTGTCTCATTTTTTGGTTAAAAGCAAAGTATTTTGGAGGTTGGCCATGCGTCTGTTGCCAGGTAAAAATATGGAACCTACTCTGTTGGGTGTGTTAGATCAAGTTAATCTCTCTTCCCAGATAAAAATTATTATTTATTACTGGCATTAATTGATGAAGTTTCCATCACAGCAGAGCTTAATTAATTAGGAACAGGACAGCTTTACCTGTACCCTACCCTCCTACCCTCACAACTTGCTGATTTTAGCAAAATTCAAGATGTAAATTTACCTACATTTGTTATATTTCAGTGTAATTAATTTAAGCTTGTTTTTCCAGATGGCTTGGACTCCTTTCCTAGCAGCATTTAGCGTGGGGTTGCAAGACTGTGATGACCCAGAAATTGCATCCCTTTGCCTTGATGGAATCAGATGTGCCATCCGAATAGCTTGCATTTTTCACATGACGGTTAGTAGTTATTTTTTATTTAGAACTTTTCTTTTTACCTGCAGTATTGTGTAAGAAGAGCTTATATTAAAAAATATAAATTTTCCAACTTGTATTAAATTGTGTAACTCTTATTTCAGCTGGAAAGGGATGCATATGTTCAGGCGTTGGCCAGGTTCACCCTGCTTACTGCTAACTCACCTATCACTGAGATGAAGGCTAAGAATATTGATACCATTAAAACTCTCATCACTGTTGCTCATACTGATGGTAAATATTTTGGTTTATTTCTTAAATATAAAATAATATGCCATTTGGTTCAGTAACCCCTTCAGTCTTGAAGTACAGTTTCTATTTTCTGAAATACCAAGAACATCCTATCATCCAGAAGGCATGACATATGATTCCATATGGTGCTACAGCCTTGTGAAGAGCATAAGATCTATGTGCAACAACTGTTGTATGGCCCAAAAGAGACTTTGGTATATAAGAAATACAGCACTGCACTGAGCCTGAAAGTTTTCAGGCCTATACTGAGCAAGAACATGTTAAAAAGCTCTGGGAATACCACTGAATAAGTATTAAGGACCAAAAATTTGCCAGAATAACTGGCTATATATGACATAAACACCGTCCCAAGTGTAACAATTTATTGTAGTTCTTTTGTCTTGCCCTCTTCCACACTACATGTTTCGGCCGCAAACGGCCATCATCAGGTGTATGCACCCACGTAGCTGTTACACTGCATCTAGTTTAAAGTTTAAAACCATAAGTCTTCCCAATTGTTCTTTTCGTCATTACTAACAGGTTTCAGTTTATTAGAATCTACTTCACTGATATCAGTCTGCTTTGTGCATTATCTTTGTTGCCTACACTCGTCAATTCAACTACAATAAATTGTTGCACTTGGGACGGTGTTTATGTCATATATCATATAGAGTGCAACAGGATGCTTAAATATAATAGAATAACTGGCATTTGAATCTGTTACTTAGTGAATTTTGTAGGCTTTAATTCAAAATTATATTGAGTTTCTAGTGTATGAAATAATCATATTGTAAGATTTGAGGCTTTCACGGCAGTGACCATGAAGAAAGCAGTCTTCTGGGATTTGGCACCGTGTATATGTGGTGTTAACCGACGTTTCGGAGGAACGTATCGCCTCCATCTTTAGGGTAGAAGAAAAAATATAAGAAATCTGCAGGCGAAGAGACCGTGAGAACCGGTAAAAGCAGACTGCTTATTTGTTATGTATTAGTGACTAGACACAGTTTCTGAATTGATAGTTAGATTTATTGGTTACTGAATCGTCATATTACAAACAGCGGCATAGTTTAGAAGTATTTACAGTCATTCACAGTTCATTATATCTCTCTTCACTAGTTTGTTACTGATTCTGTCTTCATAGACACATTGCCAAGTTTCAGAGTCTAGTAATGGGGTCTCTTCTTAATGTTTCCATCCTTTGTGGCTCTGGACCTGACTACTAAATTGCTGCTAGCATTTGCCAGCAGAGTGATTTCTTGGTTCCAAGTCCCACGGGTTTCATGACAATATTTTACTCTCTGACAGCTCTGGGAGCCTTTAGAACTCTCTGTCTTTCACATGCTGCTTGCTTTATAATCAGCAAGTTTAGGGACAGTTGGAGAATAGTGCCTCAAGCAATTATGCATCTGTTGTGCACATTTCCACATTGCTGCTGAAAAGTTGCACAGGAATGGACACCTCTGACACTTCTCTGGCTCCAAAATTCTTACTTTTATGCATCATGAATTGTTAGATTATTGGTAGGACAGATGACAAAAAAAGCAGCAGGTTCAACATGGTGGTTGTAAGGTTAGCATGCCTCTTTCATGTTCATGAACTTCTGGCTTGGGTAACAAATATCCTTGCCAAGGTTTTTTGTGGTTTCCCTCAGTTACTCCAGCCAGAACCTTGGCTGATACTATTGAATAGAGGTCGCTGCATTGCCTCATTCTTCATTCAGAGCACAGGTGCTAGTGGGTGTTCAGAAGCAAGCCCCCCACCCCACCCAACTTTTGGGAAAAATCAAAATTGAAAGAACTAAAATAAAGGAAAGCTACCAAATTTTAACACCAAAAATTAAAATAATTAAGAAAAAAATTATTCTGTATTGAATATCAGAAGATAGTCACAAAAATTAGGTCTAAATGGCTTATACATTTGTAAACAGATGTTCTGGTTGCCCCCGCCCGCACATGTGCAAGCATACTGATATTGGTGGCTCCTGTGATTCCGAGTCTGATGATTACTTGCCCTTATCATATTAAGTTAATATATCCAGTGCCTCAGACTCGCCAAGTTACCAATAAGCATCCCATAGATGATAGAATGATGAGTTTATTACCAGCTGGACGTCTTAGTTCCTCATGATTATTTGCTCAAGTAAATGACCTACAGGTAAGGTACAGTAAGGCCGCGCCATAGCTCAAGCGGTTAGTCACTGGCTTCCCATCGTGGTGGCCCAGGTTCGATCCTGGATCTGGTCAAGTGGGATTTGTGGTGGACAAAGTTGCACTGGGGCAGGTTTTCTCCAAGTACTTTGGTTTCCCCTGCCAATCTTCATTCCACCAATTGCTCCACAATCACCCTCACCTATCATCTGGGGCTGGTACTATAGGCCAGAAGTGGCCACAGTACAAGGGACTTAGTCCCACCCCACTAGCAATTAAAAGAAAAGTACAGTAACACTGTTAATACAGCTTTAAGACTTCTAAATTCTCTGAAGATAATTGACTCTTTAAATATAAGTGTTGTTTATAATCCTTAGAAAATCTTCATGTTTCAGGTAATTACCTGGGAAGTTCATGGCTTGATATAGTGAAGTGCATTTCCCAGCTGGAACTTGCTCAGCTGGTGGGTACAGGAGTCAGACCTCAGTTTATATCTGGACCTAGGGCTCACAACAGTGATCATTCCTTTTCAGACCCTCTGAAGTTGAACCTAAGCTCCTTAGATCGTAAGTACTTTCAACTATGTATATGAACACGCACAGTCTTTATTTTCATGACTCTCAACTTTTAGGTATATATATATATATAATTGGGTCACATTGAAAAAACTTGAAATTTTGACGTTTGTTTATTCTAACCTTTAAATATAGTTCCTTCACATACTTTTAGTAAGAAATGTATCCCCCTTTCACTAAAATGACTTCCTTGGCACGTTTTGGCAGCGACTCAAACAGTTCAGAGCAAATGTTTTTCACTCCCAAATTGTCACTGAATAATCCGTCGAGTGTAACAACGTTCTTAGGTCACTTATTTATTTCACTCGCCTTACATGTTTCGGTTCAAAAGAAACCATCATCAGAGGCACGTTACAAACACATGAAACCACTGGCGTTGTATTGTACACAGTATGTAAGCTGCGTGATCTGCTACAGATGTCGGAGTGTAAAAGCACAACACTTTCTAGTAACGTTGAATGCATGTACACCTCTTGTATTCCATCCAAAGAATGCCCTCAAATTGAGCCGTCAATGTTAAAATATTTAAAAACTTAAAACATTTGAAGTAAAATTTGGCTCCTTCTTGTTGATTCGTCCCGGTGATGGGAATCGTCAACTTGAGGTTGTGTATGCTTTTGGTCGGATGTGTCTTACGCGTTGTGTACACAACACACCGAATTACTCCACACCGAAACATGTAAGGCGTGTGAAATAAATAAGTGACCTAAGAACGTTGTTACACTCGACGGATTATTCAGTGACAATTTGTGATTGATAGTGTAACGGACCAAATATGAAACAATTCAAATAAGTTTTTCACTCCACTGTTGTGTGAACCACATTTTTATCACATTCATTACCATATTTTTTCAGTTGAACAGTCCATTTTACCCAGACAGCATGCTCCACATATTTTTGATTGGATTCATGTCTAGAGAATTACCAGGCCAATTGAGCATGCTGATTTTGTTTCCTTGAATGAACTTCTTGAATGCTTGACTGCTGTGAAAACCTTACATGAGTTACATTTGTTTATGTTTTTGCAGCTAGTGTAAAAGAATCAATTGGGGAGACCAGCTCGCAAAGTGTTGTGGTTGCAGTAGATAGAATCTTCACAGGTTCAACTCGGCTGGATGGTGATGCTATTGTGGACTTTGTTCATGCTCTCTGCCAGGTGAGGAGAATGATTTTCTACTTGTATTCATTATTCTTTGAGCCGGGATAGTGCAGTCAGTATAGCGACTGGCTACAGGATGAACGACCAAGGGTTGGAGTTCAAGTCCCAGTGGGAGCAAGGACTTTCACTTCTCCATATTGTCCAGACTGGGTCCTCCTATCCAATGGGTACTGGAGGCTCTTACCCCAGGGCTGAAGTGGCTGAAGCATGAAACTGACCACTCACATCCAACTAGTGCTGAGGTCAAGAAAATGTGGATGTATACGTTTGTCCAGTAAATTCCCAAACCAAGAAGTGCTACTAACAGAATGCATGTCATGCTGGGACATAGTGGCAACACTGGGAAGTAGCTTGGCAAAAACCACAGTCCAATATTTTGTTTTGACATCGTGCCCTGTCTGTGTCAACAAGTGTTATGTGTGCCCAGCAATTTTTATGGTGTTTAAAATGAGCTATTTTCACAGGCAGCGAGTTTGTATGAAATGTTGTGTTAAATGTTAAAAACAGCATTTGGGAGTGAGGCTTTTGGCCAGACTCAAACAATCTGAGTGGTGGAAACATTCCAAAGATGGCCAAACTTCAACTGATGTTGATCCTCATTCAGGTCAATTGTCAATATCCAAAACTGATGAAATTGTTGCAAAAGTTAAGGAAATCATTCATTCTAGCCGTCATTTAACTGTTGGCGAGGTAGCTGAAGAAATAAACATTTAGAAAACTGTCATGAAATTCTTACACAAAATTTAGGCATGAGTTGCATTGCAGCCAAATTTGTGCCTTGCCTTCTGACTACAAGCGAAAACAAATTCAAGTTGATGTGAATCAAGAGCTTCTGAATTGAGGTAACAAGGATGAAAACTTTTTAAAAAACATTATTACTGGAGATGAGACATGGGTTTATGGGTACAATGTTGAGACAAAAGCTCAGTCATCACAGTGGGTGTCAAAAGGGTCACCGCAACGAAAAAAGCGAGACAAATGCAGTGAAACTTTAGAGTCATGTGACAGTTTTTTTATTCTGAGGGCATTGTTCACCATGAACTTCCACAAGGCAAGACAGTGACCAAGGAATAATATCTTGAAGTAACGAACCATCTTCATGAGGCTATCAAAAAAAAAAAGGGTCCAGTGCNGGAATCCAGTGCTTGGAGATCAAACCAGTGGATGCTCCATGCTGACAGTGGGCTCACACACATCGCTGTTAATCCATAACACGAGACAACAGTTGTTCCACAACCTCCTTACTCACCTGACCAAGCACCAGCAGACTTTTTTTTATTCCTCAATTTCGCTTGTGGACCTGCACATTATCTCAGATGACGCGTTCCAGAAATGTTTTGAAGGATGGAAGAAACAATGTGAGTGAGTATTCAAAGGGGACGGGACCACTTGAAGGTGACAAGACTTAATAGCGTCTAAGGCAGGCATAAAAGGTTTTGTTTTAAAAGTTCAGGAATTTACCAGACAAACCTCTTGTACATTCACTACCCCATACGCCCTCATGGTGTAGTGCTTAATTAATTAAGCACAGGCACAACTTTACTTTTCATTATTCTGTACTCAGTTTATTACTCCACATTCATGCACATGCACTTGTACTTCTAGCTCCTTCGGTATAGTGACATAAGCTGTGGGCTGAACAGTGAGGAATCAGTTTCGTTCCCAACAGGGGCAAAAGATTTTTCTGTTCTCCACAGCAGCCAGACCAGGACTGGGGCCACTCAGCCTCCTATCCGGTGGGTACCTGGGGCTCTATCCCTGGAGGTAAAGGGTCTGGGGGCATGAAGCTGATCATGCAACATCCATCTATTGCCAAGGATGCAAGAAAGCATAGAGCTGAGGTTAAGAATGTATGGAGTTATACCCCCACTTCTCCATATGTCTTATGGCATGGTGCTTAATTAAGCATGGAGACAACTGTACCTTACTTTGCTTTGTCTTATATGTGCTCTGTTTATGCCTGTTATTTGAGAACATTTGTTGTGCTCAGAGTTGCAGTCTATGTAGGGGTCAAGTCCACTGTACTATACAGAAACACTGAATTGGAATTTCACAGTATTTTCTGTATCTTTATGTGGAATACCAAGAAAACTAAAGGAAAATTACAATTACGTAGGTCTCACTGGATGAGTTGGCACATCCAGCACATCCACGGATGTTCAGCCTGCAGAAGATTGTAGAGATCTCATATTACAATATGGGGAGGATCCGTCTGCAATGGTCTCGCATCTGGCAGGTGCTTGGTGAGCACTTTAATAAGGTTGGCTGTAATCCCAGTGAAGATATAGCGTTCTTTGCTGTTGATTCCCTTCGTCAGCTATCAATGAAGTTCATCGAGAAGGGCGAATTTGCCAACTTCCGTTTCCAGAAAGATTTTCTTCGCCCATTTGAGCACATCATGAAAAAAAATAGGTAAATATTACAGATATATGAGAGATTTTATTTTTTTGCATACATGAAAATGAACATGTACTTTGGAGGTTACACATACATATCTGTCTGCTTGGTTCATCTTTAAAATGACAGTAGAATTTAATTGAAGTTTGGAGTTTGAAGTCTCCACTATAAATGGTTAAACAAATTTAATCATGATTCATATTGCTAATTACATAAAAGTCAAAACAGAATAGCTCATTACACTAAAGATTTATATATATGCGTGGAATCTGATTGTCTTGACTGGCCTGTAACAGGCAGAATTATTTAAGTTTCATATTTTAACATAAACAAAATCTCGTAGAAAAATCTGGTACAAATGCAGTGTAATTCATAAAGCCCTCCAGAAACCCTGACAGTACTTTAGAATCACAGTAACCTTGTAACCCATATATTTGGTCTACAGAGTGATTCTGGAGGGACTTATGAAATCCCCTGTATATTGGTTCAAGAAAAATAGCTTTGGCTAAAACTCTGGGAGACTTTGTATCACTATATCTGAATCATTGTGTTTTGGAAAAGCAAAAGAATTGCCTCATAATTTTTTAAACCAAATTTACGACTAACATACTTGTGTAAAAATTTGTAATTATTTAAGAAAAACTCAACCTTTTTTAAAATAACAGTGTCCTCATCTTTGAAGATATACAACTTTTCTTATCACTTGGTTTGTCAACACAGTTATTTGTATAAATATACCATACACTACAATGTGACCACATGTTTCGGCTGTCAACAGGTATTGACACACTTCTACATTTGTCTTGAGCTTCTGTACAATTCTTCCTTACATTGGTCAGTGTTTTTATTTGGGAATATTTTTTTCCAGTTGTTGTTTACCGATGTGATGTCCTGGCTAGTCTCTTTATTAAAATTAATATAATTAAAAATATTAATACAATATAATGTGTAATATATGGGGGTAAGTCAATAAGTAAGTTACAAATGGATATAGAACTTAAACAAATAAGAATACTGATTTAAAAAATGCTTTTATTTCTCAGCATAATCTCCTTGTACATTGAGGCACTTGTCCCATCGTTTCACAAGCCCCTGAAAACCAACAGCATAAAATTCTTTGGGCTGCTGTCGGAACCAGGCGTGTTCACACAGCATGGCCTACCTCATATTGCATGACAGGTTAGGTTTTCACAAAGTCTGTGCATGATGGGTGCCACGCATGCTGACCCCACAACACAAAATGCAAAGAATGGGTCTGGCATTACAGTATCTCAATCGCTACCATGATGAAGGACACAATATGCTAGCCCGAATTGTCACAGGTGATGAGTCTTGGGTTCACCATTACCAGCCCAAGACAAAGCGTGCATCAATGCAGTGGAAACATCCTGCATCACCTGCCAAAAAAAAAGTTTAAGGTGACACCATCCTCCAGGAAAGTGATACTCACAGTCTTCTGGGGTCACGAAGGCATTCTGCTCACGGCATTCCAGCCTCAAGGACAAACCGTAAATGCCCACTCCTACTGTAACATCCTCAGGAAACTTCATAAGGCCATTCAACGGAAGCATGCAACCTGTCATGCAGTATGAGGTAGGCTATGCCGTGTGCACACACCTGGTTCTGACAGCAGTTTTATGCTGCTGGTTTTCAGGGGCTTGTGAAACGATGGGACAACTGCCTCAATGTATAGGGAGATTATGTTGAGAAATAAAAGCATTTTTCAAATCAGTATTCTTATTTAAGTTCTATATCCAGTTGTAACTTACTTATTGACTTACCTACGTACTTAATCATCATCATCATCAGTAATCTGTCAGACGACAGGTCCACAGTCTCTTCCAAAACAATTCCTCCACTTAATGCGATCTAGAGCTTTCTCCTTCAAATGACAGTATCCTCTTCTGTCCCCAAGGTCATCCAGCATCTTCTTACGTCTTCTTCCTCGTCTTCTTGTCACTTCTATCCGTCCCTCTATCTTTCCATCAGTAGCTTCTTTTAGAAGGCAGTTTCTGCGTAAAACATGACCAATCCAATTAGCCTTCCGTTTTCTTATTTCATGTAGGATATTCCTCTGCTCACTGACTCTAATTAACACTTCTTCATTTCTCACATAATCGGTCCAACTGATCTTCTCCATCCTTCTCCAACACCACATTTCGAAACTTTCCAGATGTTTCTGATCTACTGCCCTAAGTGTCCATGTTTCAGCCCCATACAGAGCTATGCTCCAAATGTAGCATTTCACTAGTTTCTTCCTCAAATTTAAGTCCAATTTGCTGGTAAAAAGATTCTTCTTCTTGCTAAATGCAGCTTTTGCCATGGCAATCCTGGATTTAATTTCACTAGTACACCTTCCATCATCTGTTAACAAGCTACCCAAATATTTAAAACATTTCACATTCTCCAGTTGTTTTTGGTCTATCTTTATTGTGACTGGGGTTGGTTGTCTCGAAATTTTCATTACTTTTGTTTTCTCCACATTCATTTCCATGCCATAGCACCTTCCAATTTCAATTAGTCTATCAATCATGCCCTGTAGCACAGTTTCTTCCTTAGCCATTAACACAAGGTCATCTGCATATTTCACAGTTTGAATAATTTGCCCTCCTACTTTGAAGTCACCGAGCCCATCCAGAGCTTCCTTGGTAAGGCATTCGCTGTACAAGTTGAACAGAATTGGTGATAAACAGCATCCTTGTCGAACTCCTCTTCCAATCTGCACACTTCCTGTCTCCCCCCTGTCCAGTCGTACTCTAACTTTCTGATCCATGTACAATTTGCTAATCAATCTTCTTTCATGCCAATCGATACCTGTTTCTTTCAGGATCTGCATTAATTTGGTCCAGTTTACCCGGTCAAATGCCTTCTGCCAGTCTATGAAGCAAACACACAGTTCTTCATCTATCTCCAAAGTTCGTTCCGCTATAATTCTCATCATCCCAATTGCATCCCTGGTTCCTTTTCCTCTTCTAAATCCAAACTGATCTTCTCCAAGTACATCCTCTATTTTCCTTTCAATTCTTCTTTTAAGTATCTTTGCTATTATCTTTGCTGTATGTGCAATAAGACTTATTGTGCGATGGTCGCTGCATTTTGTAGCTTTTGTCTTTTTCTTTAAGGCAATCATTGTAACTTCTGTAAAGTCCTTGGGCCACTCTCCACTTTCATATATGGTGTTCATTAGTTTTGTCAGTGTTTTCAAACCACCTTCTCCCAGTAACTTGAGCACATCTCCAGGTACATCATCATCTCCTGTAGCCTTTCCCTTCCTCATTTCCTTGATAGCTTTTTCCACCTCACTTTGTAAAATATATGGTCCTTTCTCGTCTGTATCTACTTCTTCTTCCGGTTCAACTTCTAAGGTTTCTGGCCGATTAGGTCGATCATATAGTTCTGAAATATAATTTTCCCAAATTTTCAGCACTTGCCTCTGATCTACTATTCTATTCCCCTGGGAGTCTTCGATGCCAACATTTTGAATCCCATGATTCTCTTTCCATCCTAGTTCTTTTGTCTTCATGTACATCAAATCATAACGGCCTGTTCTTTGAAATTCCATAATCTCATTACATATCTTCTCAAGATATTCCTTTTTGGCCCTGTCCGTGGCTCTTTTCAATTCATTCCTCAGTCTCCTGTATTTCCTCCTGCCTTCTTCATTGTTGACATTCTTCCATTTCCTTCGCTCCTCCATTTTACTCATCATCTCCTGTGTAACCCATGGTTTTCTTGCTATCTTCTCAACTTTACCTACCAAATCACTGATAGTATCTAACATGCATTCTTTTATATCGTTCCACTGCGCTTCAGCATTTCCGCTTTCACCTTCAATTGCACCGAGTTTCTCTTCTAGAGTCTCTTGCACGCTTTGTCTTTGAGCATATAACTTCTCCAAATCCCATCTGGGTCTGCGCTTTCGAAATCCTATAATTTTCTTCAACCTGGTTCGGAACTTGGCAACCAGCAAGTTGTGGTCAGAGTCAATGTCTGCCCCAGGAAGCGTCTTCACATCCTTCACACTGTTTCTGAATCGATGTTTCACAAGGATGTAGTCCAGCTGATGCCTCTTCCAATCCCCAGGTGCCTTCCATGTGTAAATTCTTCTCTTTGGCTTCTTGAACCAAGTGTTGGTAACAATCAATCCATTTCGTTCACAAAAGTCAATAAGCATTTGACCTCTGTGATTCCGTCTTCCTAGTCCATGTGATCCAACAATATTCTGATATGGTTCATCTCCAACAATGCTGTTCCAGTCTCCCAATATGATGCTGTTTGTGTCTCCTCTTCCATCTTCCTGAAGAATTTCTTCAATTGTGTCATACACTTTTTCCACTTCATCATCTTCATACTCTGATGTTGGCATGTACACTTGTATAATCAGTATATCTACCGGTTCCGCCTTTAACTTCAGAGCAATAATTCTGTCATTACAAGCAATCTTCTTAACAACACTCCTCACTACACTTTTATGCACCACTATTGCCACACCTCTTTCAGCCCGTTCACCTCCGGAATAATACACTGTATAATCACCGCTTCTTATTTCACCTTGTCCTTTCCACCGCACTTCGCTGACACCTAGCACAGACACTTCATTCTTCTGCATTTCCGTTTTCAAATTCTCCAATTTTCCTGCTTGATTCAAGGTCCTGACATTCCATGTTCCAATCTTGTATCCATGCTGTTTCTTCTGATCTTCGCACTTTTTCTTGTTGTAACGCCTGCATGACATTTCCTCTAGAAACACTCCCCCCCGGAGATCCGATTGGGGGAGTAGTTTACCTCCGGATTGTTTTGCCTCCAGAGGAAACATCTCGCATATATGGTATCTCTGTTTTTGGAAAGAGACTATCCAGGAAAAGTGATAATGTGGTAGTTTTTCCATTTGCTTTCCACATCGCAGTACAGCAGCCGTTCAAACCACTCTGGTCACGCCTGCTGCTATACGAACTTGAACCATCTCGAGCATCATTTGCTCTGTGCTTCAAGTCGCTACTGATGACGCTGCTTCCGGCATCAGTTTTTGGTGTCTCTCTTCGTCTGATGCCTACCCTTTGACCTGTCCAGCAAGGGAGGCCCTGCCAGTAGCTACGCTACCGCTGGTATAGCTCTCAGGGTCCTTGGCATACTCAAACCCCCACGCCACGTTAAGGTGGAGACACCAACGAGGGAGACGTACTTAATATATAACTTTTTTTTTAAATATTTTCAGTGTGAATATTTAATACATCACTAATGATTTGTTACTCTTTTTAGTGCTAATAGCTTTGCAACAGTGCATTTTGTGCTCCAAGATAATAAAAATAACTGGCAATGTTCATTGCTTGTTATTTGTCTTATTATTGGAGAAACTACATATTTAAATAACATCTAATTTCTATAATTTTGATAAGTGTTATTGAAAATATGAAAATTGGCGTGGTTGAATACATACTCATATATGTATAATGAAAAACCTTTTCCAGAATATCTCTTTCGAGTCAGAACAGTCTAATGATCTTTTAGGGTGTTTATTTAGACTGTGTACTGTCAGATGGTAGGATGATTGGTAAATATAAAATTGGAAAGGATCTGGAAGGCAGAATTCGTGCCTAGTGAAGATACTGTTCCAGGACATTCCTGGAGGAACTGAGGTAAACCACAAAAATACCTCATTCAGGATATCCAATGTCCCATCCATGATTTAGGCCAAGCACCTCCTAAATACATGTCCATGTTACAACTGTGGCAGCCTCCCTGGTCTGGCTAATTATGTGTATAAAATTACAAAGAATATACTTTGAAAATATGTTTACTCCATTGGAGAATTGTTCTGTTTTTATTTAAACTGAGCCATAATTAGATCTTTAATATGTCCAGGTCACCAACAATACGTGATATGGTGGTACGTTGCATTGCTCAGATGGTGAACTCTCAAGCCCACAATATAAGATCAGGATGGAAGAATATTTTTAGTGTGTTCCATCTGGCAGCATCAGATCAAGATGAAGCAATTGTTGAACTAGCTTTTCATACAACAGGGAAGATCATCAGTAAGTCATTTCATGGCATTATCTGTTCTATATTATATATTCTATCTAGGATAGTTGGTTGAAGCACTATACTGCAAGCTGGAAGGTCACGGGTTGAATTCCTGATGTCATTCATTTTTCAATTTACGTCATCCTTCCAGCCACACTATGGCCCTGGGGTCAACTCAGCCTCTGACAGAAATGAGCACCAGGAATCTTCCTGGTGGTAAAGGGTGGCCGATGCTTAAGGTTGACGATATCACCACCATCTGTGAGCCAGTTGTCTAGAAAATATGGGAGTCTTGACATCTCACAACCCTATGGGCCTCCACAGCCTGCTGCAGGGATAGCTTTACCTTTATACATTCTACTCTGTAGTCTGGGGAAAAGCAGCCAATGATTGAACCTCCATGAAGCAGGCAGCAAGCGGAGAAAACCACCTGTATTTTATTTAATAACACAGTAAAACAGACTGTGTAGCATCAGATAGTAGGTAGTTGCAGCTGTTGGCATAGTTAAGATTAGACAGACAAAACACTGAGCAGTAATCAAGAATGCCACATTTGTAAAACTGGAAAATTCACTTAGAAGACATGTTGAACAGTGCACTTCATGTCACATTTATGGCTCCATTTCTGAGATGTCATTGTTCGAATGTACAGTCTGATTTAGAAGGATGCTTTGTAAGACTGCTTTCTTATATACTGTGCTTTGTGCACAACTGTGTAAGATTCATGGTTCACCCTGTAATATACTCTCGTATATCTTCTGTTTCAGATGATCTGTACAGCAAACATTTCCCAATAATGATTGACTCTTTCCAAGATTCAGTTAAATGTTTATCAGAGTTTGCCTGTAATGCTAGTTTCCCTGATACCAGCATGGAAGCTATTCGATATGTTCGAACATGTGCTAAATATGTGGATGAAAAGCCTCAGGTATATTCAGTTTCTTAACCTCTGTTTCATCCTATGCAACTTGCTATCCTTAGCTTGCATTTTCACTAATACTGATACCATGCATGAATAGCCTTCATATCTGTTACAGTGAATTTGTACCTTTAGGAGGAGTCATTCCCGTTGAAATATAAAGTACTCAGAACTAATTCTGTAAGAACTGCAAGGATATTAAATTATATTTAATGGGTGGAGTTGTATCTGGTAAAATATTTTTGTATATAATGTCTCTTTTGCAGTATTTTAATTGCAGGTGGAATGTTGCAGAAGTGAGTAGAGATTCTGGACAATATGGCTGAATTCATAAGTTTCATTTCAACTCACAGCATCAGATCAGTTACCTTTCATAGTTTCAGTAAATACATATACAGGGTGTTTCACGACTTTAGGGCATAACTGCAGGAGGTGATTTCCTAGGTCTTTGTGATCAAAAAAGTTCATATAAGCATGTGTCCGATTTTGGACGGTTACAGAGTTATGACGGTTTTAAACTCAGAATAGAAGGTAACGATTACTGACAGTAAACGGAACAAAATAATAAACCATAATATGTATGTAAAGTTAACTTCATGAAATTACCTTTAATTTGAATTTATTGGTGTTTAATGCTGATTTTCGAAAATGCCACTGCTGGCTGCAACACAGGCTGCCACTTGGTTACAAACCGTGCCAGACATACCAACCCACCCCGCCTTAGGTACCTCTCAAGTGTCGAGATAACGAGAACGCTCTGTCTGTAGCTGGCTAAAAATAGTGACCCGCCAGCTGACAGACGCGGTTCACATGAGGCCGTGTACGGGAATGAAAAAACGGTCTAACTCCGTAACCGTCCAAAATCGGACACATNATACAGGGTGTTTCACGACTTTAGGGCATAACTGCAGGAGGTGATTTCCTAGGTCTTTGTGATCAAAAAAGTTCATATAAGCATGTGTCCGATTTTGGACGGTTACAGAGTTATGACGGTTTTAAACTCAGAATAGAAGGTAACGATTACTGACAGTAAACGGAACAAAATAATAAACCATAATATGTATGTAAAGTTAACTTCATGAAATTACCTTTAATTTGAATTTATTGGTGCTTAAAGCTGATTTTCGAAAATGCCGCCGCCGGCCGCAACACAGGCTACCGCTCAGTTGTGAACCATGCCAGACATACTAACCCACCACACCTTAGGTAGCTCTCAAGTGTTGAGATAACGAGAACACTCTGTCTGTAGCTGGCTAAAAATAGCGACCCGCCAGCTGACAGACGCAGTTCACATGAGGCCGTGTACGGGAATGAAAAAACGGTCTAACTCTGTAACCGTCCAAAATTGGACACATGTTTATGTGAACTTTTTTGATCACAAAGACCTAGGAAATCACCTCCTGCAGTTATGCCCTAAAGTCGTGAAACACCCTGTTTGTTTTACACATTCATGTTTGATATACTAGGCAGATGGGTTTCAAATTTGTCTTATGAGGGAGTCTTGAGATGTGAGAAACTTCCATTGGAATATGGTAGTCACAAGAAGCATGTTAAAGTTGGGTTACAACTTGCAGATGTTTACTGTTTAATTAAAAAGTGTAACAGAAACTACAAAAGGAACCCAGCATTATGCTGTTTACAAGTGCATTCTTGAACACTGCTGTTGAACACATTGCAACCGCTCACTTCTTTGGGCCCTTTATGTTGGTTGCCCTTATCACCGTCCTTGCTCTTCTCGTGGATGTCGAGGAGTTAGGTGGGAAGGGAGGAGAATTGTGGTTGTTGGTGCTGGTAGGTGAGAGTTCGCTTCCTGTACACCCTTAGGTGTCTCGCAAGTAGGTAAAGACAGGAGTATCTGGGTTCTGCTCTGTAACTGGTAGAGCTGAGTTCCTGTCCCGGGGTCTTATACGGGTCTGGCTCAGGCAGGGCAAGAAGAACCTTACGCTATAATCACATACACCACTTCAGACTTTTGCACTTACAAATGATTTAATTCACTTCCGTTCACNTTCACTGAATATTACGGAAACTCTAATGTTTACAGTTAATTGTATTTAACATGTAATACTTTCTTTTCTGAAGGAACGTAGTTGTAAATTTGAGACTGACTCCGCCGAAAGTTTGATGAAGACTCCCTGAGGTGGAATGCACTCTCTCCGAATTCTGAGGTCCACGAACCACAGACTCCAAGAGAAATACCGTATTTACGCGTGTATAGGCCGCAGCACAATTTTCAGACAGAAATTATAGAAAAAATAATTTTCTTGGAATATTATTTCAGGAGTATTACACCTTGTATTACTAATTATGAATATAATTTTTTTTTAAATGAAGTGTGATTTCGAATATTTCGAACATAAGCCGCACCCCAGTTTTCCTCTTGAATTTTTGGCAAAAAATGTGCGGCCTATACATGCGTAAATACGGTATACTCCTCCACTTTTGCCATTGGTTAAGTTTTCAAACTAGGAGGTTCCCTAGATTTTGAATTTCCAATCATGTTGCTTTGCTATATGATTCTGCCAGATGCTGACCTGACGCTAAGGTTGACAGCCCCTTGATGCATTACAATCAGCGTATGAGGCTCCGGCTGTCCAACTTTTAAGTTATCACTGTTCCGAGCTGTCAGCTCTCAAATTCTCAAAGACTTTCCGACTTTGCTGAAATTGCCAGAATTCCAGGAAAGTACCAGATGTCACTTCCTGTCCACAAAGCAAAACTTGAACTATGTCCCTTCTGCGTGTAAGAGTTGGCTATCTGCCGCATCTCTTTGTTTGTGTTTTTGTAATCTTAACTTAATATAGGTATAATTAATACACAATAGTCCACCAATTAGAATGAACGGTTACAATATAAAATAAGAACCACAACTAGAAAATACTTTGTTACCCCTTGTCAGTTTGGTCTTCTAAGAACCTTGGCCTCCTTTATAATAGATACTCCTGTGCTATTTTCATTTTTCAGAAAACTGTAACTCATTGTCCTTATAGCCTTTCTTTAGTCATGTCCCTGAATTATTCATTGTTAGGTTTCTTTACGTACACAGTTTCCCAGGGTGATGTTAGTTTCATGCCAAATCACCAGCCTGTAGGATCAGAGGTTACCTTTTGTTTGTCCTTTAGTCTCCAAACTGTCTGGCATAGATGACCCTTTTGGAAGCTTATATGCTCACTACTGTTACTACCCAGTTGATTGGAACACACAGACCTCCCCACCACAGTAAGGTGGTATCCCGATACTGTACATAAAACTGCTAAGATTTGATTGTTGATGTCTGTACTTGAAATTTAACTTACCTCAGTTTAGATACTCAAGGATGTATTTAATACAGAGTTTCTGTCAGCGTAGTAAGTATGACTGCTTTAGTACAGCATGAACTCCTGATTATCTGCAATAGTGGGGGGATGGAGGAGGAGGAGAAGTAATGTAGTGCAGATAATTAGGAGAAACAGATAATCCAAATACTGTATTTACCTGAATATTGCAGTTACACATATACTGACGTGTGTGTGTGTGTGTATATATATATATATATATTGTGACGTGGATGGCGTAGTGGGAGGTGGGGGTTGCGTGAACTCTGTGATCTCGCAAGTGACGTCACATACCCCCACTCCATCAGTGTGCAACGCTCGGTAGACACCCCTTTCCCCACGGTGACGTAACACAGGACACCACAGTTGTTATGTAGCCGTAAACAACTCCCGGCAGCACTGCCCAGCAACGCCTTTGTAAACACGGGGAGTCCGTGCAACGACTGTTTCTAGGCAGTCGGTAAACACGACATTACACAACAGTGGCGCCTATTACATAACTGTTTTCTGTGTTGTCCGCAACGGGGCTAAATAAGGAGCAGCGAACACTATTCAGCAGTGAGTTCCGAGTTAGCCAGTGAGTCAGCAGTCAGTCAGTCAGTCAGTGTATGAGCGGGAGTGACACAGTGTGAATGGAACAGTTGCCGAGTTCAGTTGTAGCAGAAAGAAGAATACCGGAACGTGTGATTAGAAGCGATAGCGTGAGAAGCAGATGCTTGGCTCACAAGAGAAATAATTGGGAGTGTGTGACACAGTGAGACTTGTATAGCTCCCGTACTGTACCGTGAATACGTGTAGGCTACTGAATATAGAGTGAATAGAATATTGTGTAGGGTTTGTAAATTGTGGAAAGCCGTAACAGTGTTATAATTAATTGTAGCCAAGACTTGTAGATTGTTAAATAAACCAATTAGCAATCCGAACGGCGTCTTCAATGGCAAAACACGTTACAATATATATATGCACACACACATGGGCATCTAGAAAACAAGGATCATCCTACATTTGCATGCTTAGAAGCTATCTCACTGCAGTCAGTTTTTTTCACATTATTAGTATTGTTTTTAGGGTGTGCAGTGAAGCCATTTCATAGCATTCTGTTTTCTTCAATGCAGAGTCAAGGAAATGTGTTTCCCATTATTAACAGCTCAAATCTGAGGAACTAGTGCTGCAGTCTATTGCATTGTGCATGTATTGTAAAGTCTTGTTTTGAGTTGGAAAGTTACTTATGATTCTGTCATATTGGCAATAATGTATGCTAAATGTTGTTGAGTTGCACCAGGCTTGAAGTCTTATTATTCGAGTGACTGCCATATGTTCCGTCACAGTGATGTTGAAAAAAGTGTAAAATTGCATTACATAAAAGGTAGAGTTGTCCCTGTGCTTAACTAATTAGGCACTGCACCATGAAGGTGTATGGGAGACTGGTTGTATAGATCCACATTTTCTTGATGTCGGCACTGGTTGGAGGTGAGTGGTAAGCTTCGCGCCCCTGCTGCTTTAACCCCCCCCCCCCTGGAAAGGAGGCTGGATGGGCCCCAGAGCCAGTATGGATGGCGTAGAGAAGAGAAAATTCTTGACCCTACTAGGACTCAAACTCCAATCCCTTGGTCATCCAGCACGTAGCCAGTCACTATACCAACTACACTATCCTGGCTCCAATTGCATTACATAAGAAAAGTAAAAGCACACTTATTGTGGTGAAAATTGTTTGAGATTCTAACAAGAGGTCTCAGGTCTCTAATTAAAAACCATGAACAATTTATTTTGTGATATCATTATTAAAAAAATAAAACTTGTTAATATACTATCAGCAGTACATCTTTCAAGTCTTATTCCTGCAGCTGTACTTTCCTTCCTATTACCTAATGTTATATATTATCTTTGCAAATATTTTCTTTCAAAGAAACTTTTGTTGCTTTTAAATGTAAAAGCATTGTAAATAGTCAATGCATCATTGGCATAACTGATTTGTACTGTATTTGTTCTTGTTAGGATCTTACTGATAGTTTATATACAAAGTTATTGGTGAATTTCCTTTTATTTGCTATGGAAAATGAATGTTTTAAAAGTTTTTGTAACAAATTCAGTGTACCATAATTTCAGAGATGAGTGGCAGAAATTTGAAAGATTTTTAATACAGCCAGCAGAGATGAAGCACATCCTAGTCTAAGAAACTATGGGATTTATTATAGAAGAAATGACAGATGAATTTCCCTCCTTGCCTGTACATGTGTATCAGCATGTGGAAGAAGTATAAGTATCAGGCTACATTCAGTAAAGAATTTTCTGTGGCTGAAAGTAAAATCACAGAGGTCATAACATCCCTATTAATTATGTTATTCTAATAGATGAACAACACTGTTGCAGGTTTGAGCATGTGATTGATTAAGACATGATGTAACAATAAAAATGAACCTTTTTTCCAGTTGTTCCGTGAACACAACATGGAAGACATAAATGTCCCTGAAGAAGACAGAGTATGGGTACGAGGATGGTTCCCCCTGTTATTTGAGTTATCATGTATAGTAAGTCGTTGCAAGTTGGATGTACGTACACGAGGTCTCACTGTGCTGTTCGAAATTGTCAAGACTTATGGCGATGCATTCCAGTCTCATTGGTGGAAAGATCTCTTTCAAGTACTGTTCAGGATATTTGATAACATGAAGCTTCCTGAACAGCATACGGAGGTAAGTCAGCTTCCATTTTGTTTCAGCAGTTTGGAAAGCTGTCCATCTTCTCATGAAAGGGTGCCTAATTGTACAGGATCAAATACCAGCTCACTCCTTCACAAGTCCAGTCTAATGTTTCTCTTAGGAACATTACACATGAGCACTGACAGAAGTAAATGTTAAATGAAAGCAACTGAATGCAGACATGATGGGGCTGTGACCATAGAGATAAACAGCAAATGGTGTCAATCACATTGTTAGTAAGTGGACACTTCTAGTACACCAGAGAACTCGGTCAATCAATATCATGAAGAAAGCCATCTTTTGGGATGTGGCACCGTGTAGAAATTGTGTTAACTGACGTTTCAGAGGAACGTATCGCCTCCATCTTCAGGGTAGAAGACAAGAAGAAATCCACAAGTGAACCAGCTTGAGCAGGTGCAACAGACTGAGTCCAGTTGAGTAAACACAGCTGGATAAGAGAAGGAGGGAAGTGAGTGGGGCTACTTAGGGAAACAGTAAAGAGGGGAAGGGAAAGGGTAACAATCATCATCATAATAATAATAATCACTGCCACTCGTGGAGTTGAGCCCTTCTGGAGAGGCCCCCAGAATTAAAAAGAAAGAAAAGTTCGTTGTTATCTGTTATCCATAAAGAGTGTATGAAATGTAATTTTACAATTTTTGACAGGATCTGGTTTTAGCAGTGTTGAATCTTTGTGTTCTGCTGCCAGTGAGTTACTGTTGAAATTAGTTTGTTCTGTGTAATAACAGTCATGCATAAAGCATGACTAAATTTTGCACTTGTCTGCTTTACAGAAGGCAGAATGGATGACGACAACATGTAACCATGCTCTGTATGCTATTGTGGATGTATTTACGCAATATTTTGATATACTTGGGCCGTTGCTGCTTGAGGATTTGTACACACAACTGCATTGGTGTGTCCAACAAGGTATGATTTAGTTATATGCATGTATTGATTCCTCTGCTAAGTAGGGATTGTACAGGGGCAGTCACATAAGACATTTCAGTGTAAATTACATATATTGATTAAAATGCTTGATGAAGGTGTAATTTTATTGACAGCAGCACAGGCTTGGAAAAATATGTTGCTGCCGGTGATAGATTCCTGAAACATTGTTTGATAAGGTGGACTACATGCTAGTATGGGGGCACGCAGTAGCATAGTTGGTTGAGACATGGGTTCAAGTCCGGATTAGGTGGATTTTTTCAGTTTACCTAATCCCTTCAGCCACCCTATGGCCCTGGGGTCAACTCAGCATCTAACAGGAATGAGTACCAGGAATATTCCTGAGGGTAAAGGGCAGCTGGCGCATAAGGCTAACAGCCTTATCACCATCTGTGAACCAATTGTTTAGAAAATGTGGGACCCTCAATGCCTCACAACCCTATTGGTCTCCATGACCTGTTACAGGGATAACTTTACCTTTACATGCTGCTCATGTGTTCGTAATGAAAACATGCAGAAATGCACAGTATGGTATGCTGTTTCAGGCACAAGAGTTGTTAGTCCAGTCCTCCTCACTAGTACATTAATATCTGAACATTATCAGGGATGTGAAGAGGACTTCCTCCTATTTCTCCAAGGCATGCATACTCAGTTTGAGGAAACATTCTTCCAGCAGTGGAATGCAATCTTGGACGCTCTCAATGAGAATTTTGGTTTGGTATTGTCATGGCCACTGTATTCTTCCAGTCTCAAACCCAGCACTTAACCTTTTATGAGAGTATTTGAAAGAGAGTGTACAGAGAAATTAGCCCCCACACAGTTGATGGATTGAAAGAAGAAATTTCATCTGCTGTCATCAGAATTACTGCAGACACTCTGTGCAGAGTAGCTGGCAGTGTCTGTTATTGACTTCAGAGAGTCTTGTATGCCAGTGGTTCACACATTGAAAGTGTTTGCCATTTGCATGTTATTCTTCTGATTCTGTTGTGCTAATTAGCACCAACATTATTTCTTTACATTAAGTATATCAGAAAATGTGTGCAGTTTGAATTGAAGTGCCATTTTTGTTGACCTTATATATATTCAGAGAATACTGCAAATTCTGGCAGATTGTTGGTCATCCTCACCTCCAATTTTGTCATTCTCACTCTGAGTAACCAGAGTTTCAGTAGTTACTATAGGATTCTGATGATGGTGTATAACACACTAGATAACTAGTTATCTTAAAAACCAGGACAATGGATAAAGTCGAAAAACCCAATATCTCTGAGAGTTTCAGTAGTCCTGCGTATGTCTGCAGTAGGAGCTGTGGTCTCATCCACATTTGTTCCATGGCTGCTGAATGCTACATTGTAGCGTGGTTATCAACCCATGTAGGTTCCTCCTACAGTTATTGATTTCTTGGACATTATCTACCATCCAGTTCCCCCCCTCCAGCATTTCGGAGACTGTGCGCTGTCTCCTATGGTAGAGACCTACTCAGTTTGGCCCAATCAACAGAACTAGTCCCTATCTCTGGACCTTGGATTTTATTTAGAATCTTCTTCACCTCTCTCCCCCCCCTCTCTCTCTCTCTCAATGACACTGTCAGTATCTAGACTGTACAACACTAATGGCAAGGTAAAGTTGACTGTGTGCTTAACAAATTAATCACTATGCCATGAAAACATATGGGAGAGTTGCTGTTGAACATTGATTTTATTGTTCCAGATAATGAACAGCTGGCTCGCTCAGGCACAAACTGCCTGGAAAATCTAGTCAATTCCAATGGTCTGAAGTTCCAAGATTCAACATGGGACAAGACGTGTCAGTGTATGCTTGACATCTTCAATTGCACAATTCCAAGTGCTCTGCTTACATGGAGGCCGGATGAAGGACGAGATGGCAAGGAGAGCGATTTGGAGATCATTTCGGTATAACAGTTCACTAGCCACATACCGTTCTGAGTACTTTCATGGCGTAACTCTGAAAATTATGAAAGCTGTTCCAGACACTGATAACAGTCTGCTGTACAGTAACTGTGCAGTTGATCTGAGATCTTGCTAAAATGATGTCCTTTCGGAAGTGTCATATTAGTAGGTAGCTGGAGTCTGAAGCTAAAGTTGTAGTATCTGGTGTAGCATCTTACATCAGGGTTCAGAATGTGTGGAGCAATACCTCCATCTAAATATCGTAGTGTTTAATCATAGGAATATCAGAGTCTGATGTTGCATGTTTCAAGCCATCCTACCAGTTGAAAAGGTATCCAGAGACATGTCCACTTCTTTTTCTGCATCTAAGAACTGATCACACCACATTTTTGTTAACAAATATATCTTAATTAGATATTTTGATGAAAACATTGCGCTGAGAAAAATCAGATGCTTAATTTTTTTTTTCCAGAATGAAAATGGAGACCCAAGTCGACAAGGGATCCTGAAGCGATCGAATAGTATGTACAGTATACAGAGTAACAGCACGTCACCCAGCTCTGCAGACGAGCTTAAAATGTCTAAAGCAAAGGTGTGTGTAAGAAATGTATGAACGAAGAAAGCAGTCTTCTGGGATTTGGCACCGTGTATATGTGGTGTTAACCAAATCCCAGAATACTGCTTTCTTCATAGTCACCGCCATGAAAGCCTCAAATCTTACAAATGTGTGAACCTCTGTAATTCCATGTTGTACAGTCAGTGAAATGCTATTGCAATGGACTTAAAATTGAGTAATTAAAAATTAGGCAATAGTATACATGCTGCATGGTAGTATCACCGTCACCCTATGGGGTTCTGGTATTTTCTGTGTTATATAATATTGATGGGGAGAGGTATAGAATCTTCATTTAAATTGAAAACAACATGTAAATAGGATGTAAGCTGGTAGACAGCCAAAACAAGAATATTTAACGTGATACCAAAGGATAGAGATATAAGGAGACACAGAAGTTGATGACAAGATAAGTTTGAAACTTGTGAGCATTACCATTGGCTTTAATCACCAAATTCTTGAGCCCCCAACTTGAAGACAGAGGATATGCTAATGTGCTGCCCATTGAGGGCTGTCACACACGTCACAACAGGGAAGTTACATGAGTGTAAGGCAGTCTGGTTTGATTAATAAGGGTAAACTGAAGAAACTGAAAGAAAAATAACTGCAGTTGTTAGTATTAATGATATTTTAAGTGTGATGTATATCATGTGATAGCTGAACTGAATCATATATGGAGGTAACATTCAAATAGTTCTCATGAAAAATGTTTTGTTTTGTAGTTACTATAGGATTCTGACGATGGTGTATAACACACAGAGATTGGTCCAGTGATTGAGACTAGCTCTTTCTAAGAGACCCAACAGAATAGGTGTTTTGCCTCACCTGTGGATGGAAAGAGATCCAGTTTCCGAAACATCGTGTTTTTCTTAGTTATCTTAAAAAGTAGGACAATGGATAAAGTCCGAAAACCCAATATCTCTGTATGTTTTGTTTTGGTTTTCTAGGTTGGATCAGACAAGTTGTTTGCTAGTTTGCTGATCAAGTGTGTAGTGCAACTGGAGCTCATCCAGACAATTGACAACATTGTCTTCTTTCCTGCAACATCACGGAAAGAAGACCAGGAAAACTTGGCACTTGCTCAGGTAACTATATTGCATATACAGTTGTTTGTGCTTATTTCTAAGATTGGTAACTGAGTGTGAAGAAACACGATTCCTTCTTAGTAGCATGTATGTTAGTCTCTTGAGGGCTTGTGGCACACAAGCAGAATGAACTGATGTTTAATCGATGCATTGTTTTTCATTGTTACGCTATCAAAAGACATGGATTGCAAGAGGTCTGTGTTCTGTGAACTGAGCAGATTGAACGGTATAATTGTTTACTGTAATTAACAGTATCTGAGGGCATGGGTTATAAGAGCTTCTCATATACATATCTGCAGAAATAATGGTCGGATTGTTTTGCATATGTTATCTAAGAATTTTATCCTGAATTAAAAGACCCACTTCTGGAGCACTGTAACCTGTGTATACTTAATGCTATTTCCTGGCAGTCTTGGTCACATGTGAGATCTTCTGCCAGCAGTTTTTATGTACATTTTTGTTCTTGTGACATGAAATGTTGCTGTGGTATAGTTAGCTTGTAGGCATAGTCTTCAGTGAGGGCTTCCAGCAGAGTCTTGTCCTGTCCTTTTTATGTTGAAGGAAATACTGAATTTCACTAAGAATACACAAGCAACATGACCAGAAGTTGTCACAAAAAGGAGACAATTAAGCTGATCTCCCACTGCTGAAGTCAATTGCATGAAAATGGCCATACACATCATGCAGTTTCTTTTGTTTGGAGCTGTCCCCTTCTTTTCATAAGAGCTGTCCCAGTGATGTGGTTGAAACTTTGGCTTTAGCAACCTTCAGAACCACAGTTTGAAACAGTTGGACAAGCCAGTTTCTTACCAACTTCATGTATGTAGTCACATAGCAATAGTAAGGTCAGCATGGAATGAGATGGTTGTCCCCCCCCCCAAGTTTGTTGTCAGTTGCTCAGTCGATCACTTGAGCGTGGAAGTGTAGTTGGTTTCAGATGACTCAAGTCAGTTGTACCAGTGGGAGAGCAGACTTAAACTCTTTGAATGTTTAAATGTTATGGATTGTTTCTATCACAGGCAGACCTGCTACACATAGAAGCTGGCCTATCAGAACAGCAGAGGGAGGAACAAGGGATGTACCGGAACCTGAGCTCAAAACACCTCCTGCTCCTTACTGACTGTCTTCTCCAGTCACATCGATTTGCTAAGGCCTTCAATTCAAATCACGAGCAACGGAACCTGCTCTGGAAAGCAGGTAACTGAATCAGGTTTTAATATTTTTTCAGATTTATATGCAAAAATCACATACTATTCAAATGATCCATAAGTTACTGGTGTGTGACTGTGGAAGTAGACTGTAAATAGAAGAATTCTGTCACCTGATAATGTAACACTGTTGTTGTGAGAACTTCAGATCCTACTTATAAATATAAATAGACGTTTTAGTGCTGTTAGGACTACAGTTTTGCTAATACAGTGAACTATCTCCATACATCAAAACAGTCCACTAGCATGGACTAACTAGGAACTGGGATAGCATAGTGGGTATAGCGACTGGCTATGGGCTGGACTACTGAGGGGTTGGAGTTCAAGTCCCAGTAGGGTCAAGAATTTTCTCTTCTGCACATTCAGAACAGCTCTGGGGTCCACCCAACCTCCTATGCAATGGGTTCTGGGGGCTCTTTCCCTGGGAGTAAAGCGGGCAGGACGTGAAGCTGACCACTGACCTGTAACTAGTTCAAAGGTCAAGAAAATGTGGATATATACATCCAGTCCCCCATACATCTTCATGGTGTAGTGCATAATTAGTTGAGCACAGGGACTTTACCTTTTTTCTTTCTTNTTTTTTTTTTTTTTTTCCTTTTTTTTCCCCCATACTGTAACTGCCTAACTGTGAAGTGTCTCTGCATGGCCATGCTGTCATACAGCATCATTAAGTAAGGCACAAAGAAAACAAAAATTTGTGTGTCGACAGGTTTTAGGGGCAACGCAAAGCCCAACCTGTTGAAACAGGAGACTCAGAGCCTGGCGTGTGTACTTCGGATCCTGTTCAAAATGTACAGTGATGAGACTCGGCAGGATGCATGGCCAACCATACAGCAGCGCCTCATTGCAGTTTGTCGTGAAGCATTAGAGTACTTTCTGTGCCTCCAATCCGAGGCTCACCGTGATGCATGGACCTGTCTTCTCCTCTTGGTCCTTACAAGGATATTCAAAATGTCTGATGAAAGGGTAAGACGTCAGTGTTATGTCTTACAGGATACTTTTGTTGCTGTGGACCTGATTTTTGCACTAAAACGTTTTCTATGGTAAGAGTTCTATTCTCTGCAGTATTATTCCACATAGACCAGTTAGAGTCTACCAGTGTTTCAGAGGAACACATCACCTCCATCTGCTTGCATCATACTGATTTGTTGCTCTACTTTTCCCTTCAAGATGGAGCTGATAATTTTCCTTTGAAACAGTGGTTCACTTTAACCAGACTACACCATGGTAATATCCCAGAATATAAACCTCTTTGTAGGCACTGCTATGAGAGCCTCATGTCCAACAGTTTGTATAGTATTTTGGCATATTGTGGTTCCATGCCTGTGGTGTGCTAAATGTTCCAGTTCCTGGGATGTGACCACTGTATATAGAGGCCTTGCCCAGTTTGTGGGCCTCCACACTTCAACACAAACCATGGGTTCTGCTATCACAATTTTGTTGGAATGTTTTTTCTGGAGTGCCAGGAGTCTCATTAATCTTATCCAATGAACAAAAATGGATAAAGTTGTGTTGTTCATGATTCAGGACATGAATTTATAGTCTGCTCAAATGCCATGGGATACCTATCTTGTATTAAACATACTCTTTGGAAGGACTCTACTCCATGGAGCTAATGCACAGCAGTTTAATGTCAATAAGACTTGTGTGCTTTGACCATATCTCAATGCAAATGGAACTGAAAAGCAATTTCAGGTGTCCGTGCTTTACAGATGTCATCCATAACAGGTTTGGATGAACTCATATTCTTTCTTGCTATAGTAAATGAAAATAAAAATGTCCCTATAATCTCTGTTACATGAATGCATGATTGGCTAGAGATTTTAACAATTTAACATGTCCTTTTTGCTAGGAGTATTGTACTGTGGTTTCTCCACATATTTATGGTTGCTGTAGGATCACTTCCTTTTCTAACTAAATTACAGTCATCCTTATAATAGTTTCAAACTGTTGATAAAAATGCTAGCTTGCTTTATGTATGAACCTAGTTATCTACAGTCTTCTGAATCACATTTACATATTCTGCAGGAATATTTTTATGGGTAATTTACATATTGTGATGTTTATACCCATTGCTAGGTAATGAAACACATTCCTGCGAAACCAGCACACTCAATAGTAGGACATCCATTGCTAGGCAACACATCAGTAAACACACCTCCTTAACAGTGGAGGCAACGTTTTCCAAGGAGTCCATGCTGAGCATTTATAAAGGGACAAAGAAGGTCACTTGACTGAAACTCATGTAGAGGTGGGATCGAATACCTCCACCGTGACCCTGAGAGTCATAGGAGGTGACAAAAAGGGAAGTCTCAAATCTGAGACAGTAAAATATGGTCACAAGTCCCAAGGTACTCTGCCCCAAGAAAGACTGCGCTGGCAAGGGCCAGCAGCATATACAAAAGACAGATCCGTCCTCTCATCGGAGAGGGCGCCCCCACAGAAACAAGACCGTAAAGGTCAAACAGTAATAAATATCTGGTCATGAGCCCAAGATTGGGCTCGACATCAGGACTTACTGACTGACCGTCAGTCTCAGTGTGACTTTGACTTTGACAGTTGACCGAGTAGAATATAGAAGAGTAGTGGGAAGTGGAGAGTTGAGTTTTGAGATACCAGCCTGTCAGGATATGAGCTTGGGAGCAGAGAAATTGAATCGAGTCTTCAGAATTGGCAGTTGCAGATTAATGGCAAGAAAGGAATTAAATGGCTTCATGTATGATTTGAAGTTACAGTGAAACTGATAAATCCATTGCCAGGATACAGCTAGTGAAGACTGAGAACAACGTGCAATGGTTCACTGTAAAGTGTGTATGAAGAATGCCGTCTTCTGTGATGTGGTGTCATCTAAATCTTGTGTGAACCGACATTTTGGAAGAAAGTATCACCTCCATCTTCAGGGTAGAAAAATTCACAAGCAAGGAACCAGCATCAGCAGGTGGCTTCAGACTGTAAAGTGTGTATATCAGCGATAGCGCTGTATTACCTGTAGTCCTGAACTGTGTGAACATATAAGGTGCAGTAACCCCAACCATCAAATCCAAAACTAGTCTTATAAGTCACACACAGACCCTGTCATGTGACAATATAATAAAACATATCCTTGTTATTATCATCCACTTTGGTTAAAATGTGCATACATATACACAGAGAAAAGGTGAAGTAGGTTAGAGAGGGTGTAACCAATATAGAAACTTCTGTTGTGAACAGACTTCAATTCAAATTGATCATTGAATTTGTTTTGCAGTTTGCAGCTCACACTTCCAATTACTATCCTCTCCTCTGTGAGATCATGTGCTTCGACTTGAAGCCAGAACTTCGTTCTGTGTTACGCCGATTTTTCTTGCGTATTGGACCAGTTTTCAACATCACACCAGGAAGTCGTTCAGGGGGTGGACCATGATGCCGTGGGACTGGGCGAACATGTATTCGCCCATCCATTATAACCAGCTGGGATACCCAGCAAACTGCAGTTCAGGAAAGTCATGCCTTGTGTATGGAGTCTCACTGAATCCACGCCATGGTGATGAGTAGAGGAAAGGGTGAGCCTGATCTCATAGCTTTAAACACTGTTTGCAAGCTGCCTTTTAGTTACTCGTTTTTTCAACTGTACATAGGCTATGGAGTCAGGAGATGTTATATTATGACAATCAGAATTTATTTTTATTCTCATTCAAGTGAAAAATGTTACAGTTGAACTGAAACCAGCAAGATTTGTCACCCAGTGGTAATTTACCTCATTCTATGCTTTATTGTTTTTGGAGTGTAATGATCCATTAATATTGAGAATATGCAGGCATGAAAATTCAGCCATGTTCAAGTTATTTCTGTAAACAGATATAAAGACTTTTAATGTTAGGTTAATTGCAGGTAGCAAGCATGTTAGTTTTGAACATTAGTACAAATTGTTATTCTTAATAAAAGTAAGTAAAGGTATCCCTGTAACAGACCGTGGAGGCCCATAGGATTGTGAGATGTTGAGGTTCCCACATTTTCTAGACAATCGGCTCACAGATGGCGGTAAGGTTGTCAGCCCTACGTGCCAGCCACCCGTTACCCCCAAGAATATTCCTGGTACTCATTTCTGTTAGGGGCTGAGTCAACCCCAGAGCCATAGTATGGCTGGAAGGATTAGGTCAATTGAAAATTATCCAATGACATCAGGACTTGAACCCACGACCAACTACGCTACCACACGCCTTGTTATTCTTAATATGGGAACCTAAAATACCTATTGCCCAAATTTAAGTATTAGAAAACACAAATATTTTGTATTTAATAATGGGATTCAAAATGGAAGAATCATGTTTTAAATTTCACCTCTGTGCTTGTTTCATGCTTTAACCCTTGTGCTCCCTTATCCAAGGTTGGCCATTTTTCAGCACATTGTTCAGACACACCACTACCGAACAGAATGTTTATTTTTCAGAATTTGTTTTTCCCCCACTGTCACTATATGGTGCATGTAATTATTTTATGATTGCTTGGAAATGTGTGGATATGGAGATTGTTTCTTTACCATGAAATACAGACATGTGGTAGTCTAGTTGGTTGAGGCACAATGCTACAAGCAAGAAGGTCGCAGTTTTGAGCCCCAGTGAGGTTTTTTTTGTTCCCCCCCCCCATTTGCCTAATCCTTCCAGCCGAACTATCACCCTGGGGTCAACTCAGCCTCTAACAGAAATGAGTACCAGGAATATTCCTGGGGGGTAAAGGGCAGCCAGCATGCAAGGTTGACAACTTTACCACCATCTGTGAGCCGATTGTCCAGAAAAATGTGGGAGCCTCGACATCTCACAAACCTATGGGCCTCCATGGTCTGTTACAGGGATAGCTTTACCAGTTTACTTTTGCCATGAAATACAGCAGACTGCTTGTGTGCTGTGAAAAATGTTTGATCCGGCAAGTAACCCAGGAGAAGAGTTTCTGGGATTGAAAGTTTTTATTTTGAAGTCATCATGTACTTGCATGTTCCTTTATTAATGCTTCAGAATATCAGGTTGGATCATGGTAATTAGTTCTCAGCGGCATCACACACTGCAGGTTTCCTTGTACAGTAGCAGCAGATAAATGTAGCAGAGTTAAACCATGACATTGATTTCAAGAACATCCAAAAAAATAATATGACTTCCTCAACATTGAGCCTACATTGTGATGTACTGTGAAAGATAATTTCAACGAGTTTTGGGAAGTAGTACTGCTCACGTATAACTTACTGCTGTAATTTATTCTTAAAGCTTATTTAGGCAAGAAAGTACTTTGGAATTATGAAGAAAAAATATAGAGCACACATACATGAGTATGTCTGAGAGTGCATGTTTCTTCTTTGTCTTTTTTAAGATAAAATGTAAGTTTGTATTATATTTCCATGTTGTCATATGTACATGTATATTATGATAGGCACTCCAAGTTTCATATCCTTGTATATAGCTCAGATCTCATTTTGAAGAATAAACTGGGAAGGTAATGAATGAATGCAAGAAAAACCATTTCAAGACCAGTGTCATTGAAAATAAGATTGTGGCTTATTTGAAAGTATGTGCTCAGCTGAAGGGACTGAGGAAGACTGAGAAACCTTCATTCAAGTAGCCAGTTTCAGTCAGGATTTGAACTAGATATTTTGTCACCACATTTCAGATGTTTTTAAGTTAAGAATTTTGCCCATATGGAAATTATAAAATAAAATATGACCCTGATATTCACAATACAGATTTTAAATTCACTGTTACAGAAATATGAAATACACATTAAAATTTGTAAAACACAAGTTCAAAACAGCAATAAGTTCTGGCTTTTTTAATTATTTGTTAATAAATTCAGAATGCATACATGAATTCTTGATGACAAGGCAGTATATGTAGCTGGCCATTGGTTAAATTGTGTGCATGTGACAGTGACACATTGGTAGCATGATTGCTATTCTCATATTTTAGATTGTGCATTACGTTACCAGAAGATGTCTGAAAAAGTTCCAGCTTTTTTCAAGTTTAGTCATATATACTTGCTATTCTTTCTACTGGGTTGAAAGGGATTTTAATTACAACTGTGAAGGAAAAAGAATCTATATGAACTTATTTTCACTGATAACACGGGAGGTGATAAGAAAATATGGGTAATGTTATGGAAAATCATGATACAGGCACATTTTCAAGAATATCTCGAAAGTATGCAGCATGTGCTGAATGCAAAGCAAGAGGAAGATTTGTCAGTGTTATTTTATTGCTTTATATGCTCTGCACTAATTGTTGACAGTATTCATTTACACTAGATCTTACCACCATCCTAATCGAGATATCACACATGATTCCAGGATGTTTATTCATCCTGATTTACCTTCATAAAAAACTTTGTTGCTGTCCACCTTGACACTAAATGGGGCATAGTCATCTGTATACAGTATGTGCAGTTTTCAATACAAGAAAGTTCATATATTCACTTTACAAAATATGTATAAAGGTCAGTATCTTCCAGTGCTTCAGCATCATGCCAGGAAGATGTATGTGCAGGCAGAACTCCACACATTCTTAAGCTCAGCACTAGAAAGTGGTGAACAGTCATTTACAACCACATTACTCTTGGAGAAGCTGCCCCAAGTACCCTTTCCATGAGAGGCTGCATGGGCCCCAGAACCAGTCTAGACATAGTCAGAAAAAGAAAAATCTTTGATCTCATCAGTTGAAAGTTTGAAGAAGTAAAAAACGAAAGCAAGTGTTTTCATCTACACAAGTAAGTTTAGTGTTTCGAGATAGTGTTATTACTTGTTAGAATGTGCATATTTAATCATGAATTGCAATACGGTGATTTTATTGATGAATGCTTATCTGACTTAACAAAACATATCATCCTACTGAGACATTCATTTGCTGTCATTTTAAGACAGTTTTTTTTCCTTAAAACAAAAGTACCCCACTGCTGAGTTTTTTGTTAAAGCTCTCTAGATTCACTTCAGAGGATTTAGGTCAGGTGCTCTACAGTTTGTCATGGGTTTTCCTCATTTACTCCACTGCATGCCTTAAGTTTCTCGTCAGTGTAAATGCAATGTTAGTAATTTGTTACCTAGATAAGGGCAGTACTAGGCAACTATTTTAAGTGTTTGAATTCATCTGCCTTACATTTGTATTAATTGTACTTGCAGATTTTCTCAGTCTTATGAAGCATAGTGGTTTGTTGTGCTTATGGCTCTGGAAGTATCAAGATCTGTATATGTTAGCATTTATTGAATTGCCTTCACAGTTTCATTTTGATGCCATTTTTATTTTGATGTCTGTAATAAGGAAATGATAAGCGGCCTCCGTAGTCTGGGGGTAATGTTCCCACCTCATGACTCAAGGTACACGGGTTCAAACCCGGTGGAGGTCGTGGAATTTTTAAGGGTGGAGAAATTCAGGGAATAAGTCCTTCGGGAGGGACTTTAAGCTGTGGGTCCCATCTCATAGACTTACAGCACGTAAAAGATCCTCATGTCTCTAGGAGACCTCTGAGCAAAATTAGGCAAAATGTTTCCCGCCCAAGTAGTTTCCAATGCCTCTGGTAGATGGGGAAGTTATCGGGTACCAGTGCCAGTAGAGGGCCGGACCTCGCTGGCAGAAAGAGGAGATAGCAGGCACCAGTATCGGCAGGGTATGGAGACAGTAGAAATTAAAGGGGGACATACAATAGACTATTAGTCGCGGTGCATGGGAAAACCCACCCCCTCTATACTGAATAACTGAAGGAGATGATATGAAGTTCTGTATTAGGTTACCGTATATATCACAGTTGCATATATAAAGGGACCTTCTGAAGTACAGCAGGAAAACTTTTACGTTAATAGAAAAATGTACACTATATAGTCTCAAAACGTGAAGAAATGTAAAGCAATTTAATTAGTAATACCTCAGAACTTTTGTGTTTGAGAAATGCAGTTTCAGTATAGCAGCATGACCAATCTGTGGTAAGCTGCAGCAATTTCAGCGTTTATTTTGTTGTATATTTGTACACAGGACACCAGTGTGTTGTATCGTGGGATGGGACAGGTTGGCAGGGCAGGCAGTTCCCTTGGGAGTCAGTGTGGGGTGTCTGAGAACTACAGCTGAAAGTTAACTAGTACATTTATCAATAAGAAAAAATACATGCAGTTCATGTAGAGAAAAGCCCAGCTGGTAAGCACTAATTGCCTGCCTAAGCAAGGCAGCGGCAGTATGATGACTTGCTACAGGCTGGATGACTGAGGGGTCAGAGTTCGAGTCTGAGCAGGGTCAAGAATTATAATTTTCCCATGTCATAGAGACTGACTCTGGGGTCCAGCCAATCTCCTATCCAGTGGGTACTGGGGGTAAAGCAGCCAGGGTGTGAAGCTGACCACTCACCTCATTGCTTTGATGAGAGTTTGAAACATGACACTAATTAATGTTATTGTCTCTCTTCATAGTAACTTAATTGACATATTTCATAGGATGAAGATTGCAGTGAGTGATTAGTGATGTGCAAGAAAATGTAGATCTCAGTGGAAATAAATTGGTTAAATGTTAATGAAGTAGACCCAATCACCACTCAGGCTTTTGTGCAAGTGCATTATATACAAAAACACTGTAAGGCCATAATGGATTGATATACTTTATTACAAAAGAAAACTGTATCTTTCTTTGTGTATTGTATTTAATCTTTGTTCCTAATTGGCTTTTTCTTGTAATTAAATAATTTATTGCTGGCATATATTGTCCAGTCATCACTTTTCTAGTGGCATACTAATCTGGTGGTTGTATGAATTTGCACTTTTCTTCTCACATGACAAGTTCTCAATCAAAACTGTTATAATGCAGTTCCTTATAACAGTTATTTTCATTAGGTAGTTACAACGGGAAATGTTACACATAGCATAGTTTGTCGCAAAAATATCTGTACTCCTGCGAATCTGTATTAAATGTTAGTAATTATAAAATAATTCTGTTGGAAGGCAATTATAGTGCTATGAACCTTGAGTACGTGAATTTTGGCAAGGCAGAGAACAAGTGATGTAGGGTTACTTGACCATGAGAGAGATTTCTGGTTCTGTGTTGGTGTGGGATTCTGTAGTTAACATAGTGATGTATTGCATTGTTTCAGTTCTCATTGTGCTCTATAATCTCAAAAGTGAATCCCTTAGTGTATTTGTGATGTGTTATAAATTTCATTGTATTCTTAGTTTATCTTGTAGATCTTAAGAAGAACAGAAGGTAAACTTTAAATTGAATTTATAGGAAGGAAACTGCAACCCTCTTTGTATATATTGTTCCTGTATAAATTATTCATTTTCTGTTTTCATGAAGATGTGGCAAGGTGGTAAATGGTCATCATTTAGATGTGTTGCTTATCGTTTTTGTAAACGACAGATTAATAGTGTTTTGTACATAGTATGAAGTTTATGGACTGATCTAAGTTATTGTATTGTACATTAAGGAAAAATGTTTTTACAAGACAAATCTGTTCAAGACTTATTGGCTGTTACTAACAAATGTATCTTATTAGCTGACAAAGAAGTAGATTTAAGAAATCAGTCTTTGTAAATAGCGACAGATATTGTGATCAATAAAGGTAGAGGAAAATGTTATTTATGAAATGTTTACATTTTTTTTTATATTTCTGTAGGGAAGAAAAATAAAGTACTGTTATATTTAGCAGTTCCCTTATCTACAGGTATAATTAGTTTTTCTGCACAATCAGGTCAGGTGAAAATGAATACTGATTCTTCTATGCCTATCTGTCTAGCATCTACTCGCCTCTGTGTCTTCTTCCACTCCCACCAGTTACCACTTACTGTGGCTGTCTGTTCCATGTATATATATATTCTCAGTTTATTGTTGCTATTGATGAACAGGGTGTGCAGTGTGGGTAGACCATAGTATAGTGCTGAATTACAAAATAGTGTATCCTTAGGCTCCCCATACACACACAGTTTGGCCTTCCGATCGACCTTACAGGCAAAACTTTCACAGTTTAACCCCTCCCTTTCCTTCCCCATACACGCGCAGATAAACTGGCAGGCTTCATGCCACAATCACGGTCTTCCAGCCTATAATGCTGAGTCACACACGTCATGTGCTACAGTCCTGCAGGTAGAACTGATGGACTGACGGGTTTCCCACAGGCCAACAGTCCAAACAATTGGCCGGTCGACCACACCACACACATCAGTTTTGCCTTTCAGTCTTCAACTGTGCAGGCCAAACTGTGTGTGTATGGGGGCCCTTAGTATCAATCACATATTCATATTTAATATATATTAATAAGTGATAATATGTATATTAATTAATGTGTGATTTTTATATGTGAAATGTTGGCGGAAATACTTTTAACAATCAATATTATAAAACTCTTGATTTAATGATATATGATATAAACTCCGTCCTAAGTGCAATAATTTATTGTAGGTCTTTCGTCTTGCCTTCTTCTACACTACATGTTTCAGCTGCAAATGGCCATCATCAGGTGTATACACTCACGTAGCTGTTACACTGCATCTAGTTTAAAATTTAAAAACCCGGGTCTTCCTAATTGTCCCCTTCGTCATTGCTAACAGAATCTACTTTGCTGATATCTGTCTGGTTTATACATTATCTTTGTTACCTACACACATGTAGTGTAGAAGAAGGCAAGACGAAAAGACCTACAGTAAATTGTTGCACTTAGGACAGAGTGTGTATCGTATAAAGTGCAACAGGATGCTTAAATATAATACTCTTGATTTAAGTTTATCTGGTCCAAGTGGTCAACATGGTAAGAATTATTATATTATTCACATTTTAAAGCAGAATTGTTAGTGATTTAATTATATTAATATATGACTTACTTATGGAGCTAGCGGCCTCTGTAGTCTAGAGGTAACGTTCCCACCTCATGACTCGTACGTGGGTTCAAATACCTGGCGGAGGTCGTCGAATTTTTAAGGGCGGAAAAATTCAGGGAACAAGTCCTCCAGGGGGGACTTTAAGCCGTGGGTCCCGTGTCGTAGGTTTACGGCACGTAAAAGAACTTCATATCTCCAAAGGAGGTCACTGAGCCAAATTAACGGATGTTTCCCGCCCAACAGCAGTCTCTAATACCTCTGGTAGATGGGGGAAGCATTATAGATACCTCTCAGCTAGTAGAGCTGGTCTCGCTGGCTGGGCAGGACTGATGGTAAGCACCAGTACCAGTAGGATATAGAGACTGGTAGAAATCAGAGGGAAGCACAATGGACCAATACAGGTCTCAGTGCATGGGGAAACCCACCCTCTCCAATAACTATCTAACTAACTAACTACTTATGGAGCTGAGCCATTCTTGAGGAGAGGCCAAATCTGTAGGTACTCAAGAATTTCCCAGCATTTTATGGAATCTGAAGGTTCATTATTGTGTTCACAAGAGCCCTCCAGATCAATCCAATTCACGCCATCCCATCCTGTCTCTCTAAGATCCATTTTAATATTGTCCACCCACCTATGCCTTGGTCTTCCCAGTAATCTGTTTCCTTCTGGCTTTCCCACCAATATCCTATATGCATTCCTCTTCTCCCCCATTCGTGCTACATGCCCTGCCCCCCTCATCCTCCTTGACTTAATCATTCTAATTATAATTGGAGAAGAGTAAAAGTTATGAAGCTCCTCATTATGCAGTCTTCTCCAACCTCCTGTCACTTCATCCCTTTTCGGTCCAAATATTATCAAACACCCTCAGTCTTTGTTCCTCTCTTAATGTCAGAGACCAAGTTTCACACCCATACAGAACCACAGGCAAAATTATAGTTTTGTATATTCTAATTTTTATGTTTTTGGACATCAGATGAGAAGACCAAAATGTTCTGGACTGAATGGCAAGCAAGCATTACCCAAGTTCAATCTCCTCTTAATTTCTTCCTTAATCAGATTTTGATCTATTTTCGTCGTTCCCAAATATCTGAACTGTGCCACATTTTCATAACATCTGTTTCCTATCTTTATGACTAGTAACACTAATAATAGTGGTATAATATGTACTAATTATACATGGCATTACTTCATTTGAAATTCTACTTCTAGCACAAAAAACATCATTAATTCTGAGAAATTTCAACACCTCAGCACAAGAAGACTGTCAGTGTGTTTCAGAAAATAATATGATAATGGGTAGTAATTATATGTAGCATTACTTCATTTTAAATCCCACTTCTACTGAAATTAAACCACTTTCTTGCCATTAATTCTGAGAAATTTCAGTGCCTCAGTATAAGAAGACATCCAACATTTAAGAAAATATTTGATTTCTGTATGTAGCTTTGAAATGTCCAAACCTTTTATGTACAAAATTGTCTTATTCCATGTATTAAGCATTTGCAGTGTGTCGTTACATGCCTGCATTCCAGTATTATTTTTCTTGATATTTCATACATGAACTCATTAAATATTACTGGTTTCTTGTTTTGAGAATGCCAAATTATATCTGGAAGGAACACCCAAAATGAGAGAACAGATTTATAGTCCAAAGCGTTCTGTCCTTTCATAAACCCAACAACTTGCAGTTTAATTTAAAACTGAAATAGTGGTACCTCACATTTATAAGATACACTGCATGCTACAGCGATATATTCACACTGATGTATGAACCTAAAGATTCAGATGAGCAAGGTTGTATTCCAAATGGATTTAACATATACAAGAATTTACTAGGGGCACTGGAGAAAACTGTGTCATGTCTGGATATCCAAACAGCCACAGCCAGGAAGAGAGTGCCTCCAAAATACAAGACTGACATGTTACCACAATTAACATAAAAAGAATATAAAATTGACATTTTTCTTTCTGGATACTTTTAAGGGCATATCTCAGTTGAACTGTGTGGTAAGCACATCACTTTAAAATATCCCATCAGAAATTGTGCTAAAATGAAAATGCTGCACATCAAGTAATTCCCAGAACTTTTTTAAACAAATATTCATTCTGTGTTTCTGTTAACCAAGATTAAATGTGAAATTTCAGATTTATACATTTTTGACCATATGAAGTATGAGTATTAGAGAATGGTTAAGATCTAACCTGAATGGGCATGTGCAGACTTTTTTAGAGCCTCTAAAGAAATACCTCAGAGAACATGATTAATGGAAGCTAAGAAACAACCAAAAAGAAAAAGCTTCCATATTTCTGGTAGCTTTAACTGACTACAAGTGTTACCACAGCATCACATGGTTCCATTTATTCATTCATTGACTGTCTTGGTCAAACATGAACCATTCCATATATTCTGTGTAATAATGGGACACTGTATAAGTTTAAAGGCTCTTTATTGGCTTTTACATTGTAAGATACATGTTCACAAAAGTTTCTTCAAGTGTACCAGTATATGAGACTTCAGTGTTGGCATGTTTTTTGCAAGAAAACTGCACTTATGGCATTTTAAAGGCATATCCATAAACTCCTTGACTTCTTCTTTTGTCATAGGTATTACCTTGCCTTGCTTTTCAACCTCAGAGATTAATTCTGAAAATAAATAAATGTAGTAATCATTATGACATTACATATTCTGAGATACTTTTGATATATTCTTAAATTAGTTCAAAATGGAGGGGTAATGTGCATGAACACATATTTGTCTTAAAAACTAGTCAGTGAACGTTGATGACATTACTGTTAAGAAGGTGTATACTAAAAGATGTTGGATAATTTTAATTTTTGCCACAGTTTTGGCAAGTCAGGAAATCAGATTGAATACAGATGCTTTCATAAAAGGTAGCTGCAACTGGCAAGGACATTTGTTAGGACTCATTGTAGGTGTAGCAAGCTTATAAAGCTATAGACTCCTGCTGTCATTGTCATCGGATGGGGGTCACATAAATTTATATATTATTTTAGGAGGCTGTGGTGTTAAAAAGTTTATGAACCCCTGCCTTAATAAATTAAGTCCAAATTGAGTATCTTTAATAATCTGAAATTCACTGCACAGAATAGTGGTACATATAAAATATATTGTGGCATGTCTGCTGAAAACCAAAATTATGAAACCATCAGGGACAGGCATTGCTAAGGAATGGCTCCATAAATACGGCCATTTCTAGGTAATGGCTCGGTGGACATCATGGGAAGGCAACAACAGAAGAGCTGTTGGAAGTGATGTTTGCTGTACAGTCCATGCCAAGGCTACATAATGAAGACCAGCTGCCATTACAAGAGGGTCTGCAGACAGTCAGTTGAGAGCTGCAGCAGCTGAGGCCAGGAACAGTTCGGGAACCGCGAGAAAGGGAAACCTCTGCCACTGGAAGCTGCTACCAAGACCATGAGTGAGAACAGAAGTCCGTGTATGATCGTGTCGCATTGACGGCTGAATTTTTATTATTAGATGTATTTCATACATTATCAAACTCAGGTGAGAAGGGTGTAAGAAAGTCTTGACAACTTTCTTCCATACAACTTTTTCTGTGAATGAAATAAATATATGTAAGATTTGATGCTTTCACGGCAGTGACTATGAAGAAAGCAGTCTTCTGGGATTTGGCACCGTGTATATGTGGTGTTAACCGATGTTTCGGAGGAACGTATCGCCTCCATCTTCAGGGTAGAAGAAAAAATATAAGAAATCTGCAAGCGGAGAGACCGTGAGAACCGGTAAAAGCAGACTGTGTGGAAATATACACAGCTATGTGAGAACAGAGAGGGAGAAGGGGGAAGGGCAAGTATACAAGTGAAAGCAGTAGTGTGGGAGGGGTAGGGGAAGGGAGCTGGGACAAGCTTGGTTTTGTGTAGGGGAGAGAAAGGCAAGGTTAAAGGCTGGGCACTAACCCG